ACAGGTGGGCGGCGCCTAATATCCCGAGGGCCACCCGCGGCTCGTACCTTGTGTAAATTCGCAGAAAAATCCGTAGGAAAACCTTTTGCTATTGTGGAAACGCGGTCGAACGGTCCGGAAAGAATACAACGTAGGTAGGCCAAGATACATAGATCGTGTCAAGAACGCCGCCACCGCTGGGCCGCGTGCCTTTGCCTTCGCCTTCGCCTTCGCCTTCGCCTTCGTCTTCGCCTTTCGTTCAACGTTGAATATCCTTTCGATTATTTCGACAACGACACGACACTCGAACGTCATTCTTTGAGTTATTGTTCGAACCCTGCGTGGAACAAAACAACTAGTCTTTCCGTTGTTTCCTGTGTCCTCTTCGGATGTATCCGGTTCGTCCCGAGATTTTCATCTTTTTGTCTTTTGTTGTCACATATAGGTAAATGTAATCTCAGTTTGTCGCACGGTAATCGTTCTTGCTCGATGGATGCCTGATTTTTTTGCGTACATTAAATACCAATTGCGACAACGAGCAATCGGAGATTTTGGATCAACGGTGCCACGATTTCAATTGCAACATCGATACATACTATATTATGTATTACTGATGCTCCTCCCATCAGTTCAACGCCCACTCTTGTAATATGTATAACAACCACGCGAACAGGATCGATTCGAGACCATTATCGAAGCAAGCGTTGTTTCTGTTTCCGCACAACACCTTACCCGTCTCGCCGCCATTATTACCCTTTGTATCGAAATTCTCATCGATCCTGTTCTCCTGTTTCAGCAATAGCTATTGCCGCGTCGCGCCGTCCTTCTGACACTCTGACACTCTGACACTCTGACACTGGTTCTTCTCTTCCCAGGGTGATTATTTTTTCCGACTTCCCTCCGTTTCCATCTATCCGTCCTAAAGAGGGGACTCGTACTAACTGTTAGCGAGGGGTTCCACCAATTTTTATCCTCCTCCTCTCCTTTCTTTCGATTTCTTCTCGACATATTGCAAATTTCGGTCTCTCCTATAGTGCATCTGCGACGGCTGCACTGTGTCGGAAGAATAGCAAGAACGAGCAAGCTGTCTCTTACGCCCTTCCCAAGTTCCCGAAGGAACAGATGATGATCCCGTTTAGGAAGCTGCAAAGCTGTCTTGCTCTCTGGCAGACTTTACGGTTATGGGGTCATCATCCACAGTGGTTCTTCGTTGTTTTCCTCGATTCTTTCAGATCAGTTTGTATCGACTTGTTTCATTTTCTCACGATTACCTGTTCGTACGGCGCGATATTAACGGACACCGATTCCAGATAATCTTGTAAATTTTTGCGTTTTCTCGAACGTAAACGTTTGCATTACACGCGATTATAATGCGATGATAACACGAGTGCAGATATCCAGAATAATGTAACCATGTGGTAGTAATAAATCGTATCACGAAAAACATAATCGACTGAAAAGTGAAAGACGGAAGGTTCACGTGGAAGGCGCAAACGATGACGAGGTTTGAGAACCTTCCAACAGGTATGTTACGAAATGTCTCGACGTGCTTCTTCTCTGTACTGATAGAACATAGAGCGCTGCATACCTACGCGCGCGATACGTATACGCGCGCGCACACACACACGCATATGTGCGTATGTATATTCTGTGAATAACTTGACGGAGCGAAGCTACGTGTATCGGGTATATGCGCCGGTGACTGCACACTACCGTGGCCAGTGTCTGTTACACGTATACGTGTGTATATGCACTTAGCGGTGCACCATCGGGGTACCCATAGTTGGCACGTGCCAACCATTACAATGGATACGACCATCTGCACTCGTTCTTATAGAAAAATCAGACTCGTAGGGACACGGGCGTTTGCTCGATCTCGTGTCCCCTTCCAGTCCGTTATATATGTAGGTTCGAACGATTCGCTACTCGTATCTCGTGTCCCGTAACGACGGTTCAGACGGTTCAGACGGTTCAGACGGTTCAGACGGTTCAGACGTCGAACAGGAACCACGCTGGGGGTACAGCCCGCGCGCGGTTTTCCTATTCGCAACGCGCTACTCCTCTTTTCCATGTTACGAGCGTAACCAACGAAAAACACGTTACTATTTTTATTGAAACAGACGATTCGCCGCATTTAAAGGTACGTCGGCTAACTAATAGCCGAAACATATAATGTAGGAAAATGTTCGCCATCAGACGACTCGAACACTGTTGCGTCGACATTGAATCGTGAAACGACTTTTCACCTATAAATCGAAAATGTTTTGGAAGGTGGTGTTACGTACGCATTACGACACGGAAGGTGCTGCGATCTGGCAGCTGCGAACGAGGGGTTCTCGGTACCCCCCGATGTACGTGGCAGTAAGCAGCTGAGCTACCCCCATCATGGGTACCGTGCGTTATACACGTTCGATTCCCTATAACAAATAATCTTTGCAGTCAGGACTGATGGGAACGACCCGGTGAATCTTATTTTATGCTCTTCTATACTCTGATGCCCATTCCACCAGTCAGTCGCCCCCCTCTTTCTCCGTATCAGTTAGTCTTCTCGACAACCCTATGTATATCGTCTCACGCGTTTCCCTGGGAATTTGATTCCCAGAATATTCCTGACATTTATTTGCACAAACTTAGATACATACGAACCGTGCCTTCCATTCCACAAGAACGCAATCGTTGATTAATCCTTTGATATTCGGTTTCGATGAACAAGAACGAAAAGTTTTCTAAACATCGGCAGATCAAATTTCTGTATCCTTGCCATCTGAGGTCGACATGTTCTTTGGTTGTCACTATAACAGACCGAACGACTCCGTTATCGTGAATGGTACGAGACGTATTTTTTTGATATATGTTCATTGCCTTTCCGTGTTCGTTTCCTTTCAATGGCGAGCCCCCAACGCACTTGTGCGTCGAGACTCAGAAGCGGGTACCTGCCGTGTGAAAATCCTCGAAGAATGCGAGGGTGGTATCAGAGATCAGGTGAAGCATTGTGATCAGTAGAATGAAAAAAACGGACCGGAGTCGTACCTGCCGAGAACTGCATCTCCTTCGGGATAGTCGGTGCATCAACCGACAGGACAAGGACCGACAGAAGGAACGAAAGAGACGGAAGCAGACCCTTTCAATGCGAGTGGAACTCCTACGGTCGGCAACCTTTTCCGCTCTGGTATCGAAAGCGAGGAGCCCCACAGTCAGTGAATGACCGAAAATGTATGCGAGAGGGATAAACGATCGGTCTGCCGAGTGGTTACGGAGGAGAGTAAGAATCGTAAACTTGAATAATCTTTCAGCCTATACATGTTCTCGTTTCTTTTTATACAAGTCGACATTCGATGTGCGAGACAACTTTGAAAAATGATAGACAAGCGAATGATAAAGTCGGCAAATATGCATGTCCGATCTTGCGAGTCGATCCATTTCCGTGCCACTTTTTACGAAATCAAACAACTCGATCGACAAATAACATTTCGAATAGACCGTGGCTGATAAAGTTGTCGAAATTGCACAAGTACTTCCTAGGACATACATGTACATATACTCTTTACGTGCACTTTGTTGGCGTTCAAATGTATGTACGTTCGACGAACGAACGTATGGGCGGACGTAACGAAAAACGGCGGCAAAGAGGCAGAAAAGGGCCCCCCATAGCGGTCGCCCTAAAGAGAGGATTCCGCGTTCCGTTCTCCCTGCATGTCCTGAGAAGATTTAGGCGGGCCCTTTCTCGGCTCCCGATTGGTCGGCCCTTCCCCCCACCGAGAACGATTCCCCCGTATAAAGCAGAGGTTCCCGCCGAGCTGAACAGTTAGTACCAGTCTTGCAGGTTGGAGGTACGGATATTTCGTTCGCTGCAGGTCGAACTCGTGGCGACAAACGCCCGATCGGGGGAGTGTTTGCGCGCGCGATAATTCTTGCACATTATTTCCGCGAATTAAACTGTACCGTCTGTTTGTTTCGATTTACTCGAGGATCAGTTGTATCCGCTATCTCGTTGATATGTTTTGGGAAGGTGTCACGGAATCCTGCGAAGTGTGTCAATGTACAAGGTATATATCGGAATGCTAATTTCTTGTCTTTTTCTTAACAGACGACGACGTTCTACCCAAGGATGCATATTAATACATATACATATATGTGGTATACGTACGTGTTGTGTGATACAGTGAAATTGAACTCGTGCAATCAAGCTGTTAAACTCGCGCGTTAAAAGCGAACCTGAAACGTGCAATTTTACATCGACCGTAATTGAAATAGAAGAACGAGATCGGTATCGTTGATTTCGTTCCGATTAATTCCGTGCTCAAGTTTCATTTCAACGAAACAAGTTCGAATCGTGCAACATTCAAATCGAATACCCATTCGATGAAATCCATTCTTCTCTTTGGTGGTTAGTTCCTAAACGGAGAGATTACTTAATTATTATTTGCGGGAGAGTGTGGCGCGTTCGCGCGCTAGTATCGCTTGCTCGTGTTTCGCTCGAATAAAGAGCTACATAATTGTACGAAGGTTTTGTTCTAATAGTAACGTGTGTTGGCACGACACATCTATTATTAAGTTCCGAAATAAGGCCGCGCACGTGTTCATGCTCGTAGTTGTATCGAAGATGCTCGAGACAGTTATTCGAGTTGAATTTTTGTGGTTCAGATCGTACAAGTAGTTCGCTACAAGCGATCGCAATCGAAACAACTGATTCGATGTTAAATGAATCTGTAAAGCCGCGACTGAGAATTGTACAGAATGTAATGATTCGTTCGAAAAGATATAAAACCGTTGACGGGCATTATTGGAGTGCTTTTAGAGTTGCGACTCGAGATAATGGGAGTAGTTTGTCACGCTTCGGGTACCGACTCGGAAAACTCGAGGTTAAGTCCGATCGTCGTCTACATTGTGTGCTCCTTCTAATCATTGTTGTCGTCGTCGTCGTCGTCGTCCTCCTCCTCCTCCTCCTCCTCCTCCTCCTCCTCCTTTTAGTCGTTTTCTATATGTATTTGGTAATGTTCAGTTTGTTGTTTGTGTTGCAGGCTCTTTAAGGATGCCTTCAAGTTCAAGAGTACTCCAGAGAACACGGTGAAATCCAAGCCGAAGGTGCGTCGACTTCTCGGCATGGCGTCCCGACGTTTTTCCAGTACGGAATCGGTGTCGCCCTCTGTCGAGAAAGAAAACAGCAATACTGGTTGCAGTCCACGGGGTATCAGCCCGCAGAAGGTAAGCTGTTTTATAATATATGTATATGTAGTACGTCTGTTTTATATATGTAGTAGTACATATGTGCATATGTATCTTGTTCGCATTTCGTTGTCAGTTTTTCGATGGTTACGATGATCAGAGGCAAATGTGATACAGATATTCGAACGAATGAAATTCACTGACTGGCAAAACATTAAGAATCTCTTGAATCGTTCCGTTACAGATCGTGGGGGGAAAAAAGTCCCGATATCCGCTGGAAGATTGCGACCCTAACAGTCAGGACAGTGGATACGAGGCAAGTTATCCGGAAAAAGAAGAAAAGCCACGGGAGGCGTTCCGATTTGTAGAACCGATGGCCGTTGCTCCGCGACGGACATCGATCGAATCACGAAGTCCGATGGAATCACCGGTGCGATCCTCGCCGCGACGAATGCGCGCGAGACGACCCACCCTCTTTCGGAGTCTTTCTTCCGGCTACGAAAGCATGGATGATGGTTTCAACGATCTGATCGACGTGGAGCCTCTGGAAGATACAACACGCCTACCGAACGGCATCTCGACTCTTCTTTGCGGTGATATCGTCGGCACAGGAACGTTTTCCGACGTGACGACCGCCATCAATATAGATTCGAACTTCAGCCCTAGTACACCGGAATTCCCTCGCACGAATCGCACCGGCAACTTCAGACGATCGCTCTCGTTGCAAAACGAAAGATCCGAAACGCGCAAGAACTCGTCGCTCTCAAAAGTACGCTCTTGTCTGTTTCGTTCTCCGAACGCGAATTCCTCGACTGTGAATCCGGGTTTCGAGGACGATCCGTTGTTGGCGATGACAGTCCCCGTGTCTCATCGCCGACGAGTCGGCTACGGTTACGACCACGAGAACGACTTTGGTTCTCCGCTATCCGTCCGAACGTTCAAACGACCGGATCCACCGATCGACGATAGTCCGAAATTAGTGAAAAAGTCTCGGAGATCGAGCACCAGCTTTCTCGACGCGATAAGACATTGCAACGGCATCGATGTGTCGACTTCCAGTTCCCGGTTCGCCGGAATTCCTTTCCAGAGAAGTTTGTCCGAAACATCGGCAACCATCACGGCGATGGCAATGGCGATCGAAACGACATGCGCGGATACGCGACAGGAAACACAAGCGGAAACGGAAACTCACGCGCTCATAAAGTCAGCTATTCATCGTAGTAGCACCGACATGGATCTTACGGGTGACTTCAGTAAATCATGCGTTTTACCATTAGCCACCGGCCATCACGAAGACTTGAAATCGATTTCGGTGGATACGTTGGCCGCTCTGATTCGTGGAGAGTTCCACGATCGCATTGGTTCTTTCAAGATCGTAGATTGTCGTTACCCGTACGAGTTCGATGCCGGACACATTCAGGGTGCCCTGAATCTGTACAGCAAGGACCTAATCGAGCGAATACTGTTAGACCCTTTAACCAATACGCCTGAGATCCAACCGGATACGAACAAGAGGAATATTCTGGTATTCCACTGTGAATTCTCCTGGGAACGCGGCCCAAATCTTTCGCGGTTTTTGCGAAACTTAGATCGACAACGTAACAAAGAACACTATCCCGCTCTGTATTATCCAGAAGTTTATCTGCTGCACGGTGGATACGAACAATTCTACAAAGAACAGAAAGGACTGTGTTCGCCGCAAGGTTATCGACCGATGAGACATCCGGATCACGAAGCGGATCTCAAGCAATTTCGAAGTAAGAGCAAAAGTTGGCAAGGCGAGAAATCAAGAATCTGCGCTGGTGCGACGCGAACCAATTTGAAGCGTCTAGGTTTTTAATTGCAACAATAATTTGTCAACCCTTCCTCCTTTCTCTATTCTCTCTTCTCTCAGTCGGATTGTTCGTTTCTACTTTCTCACTTTACTCCGTATTTACGTGTAAATAGCTTGTATCGTTCTGATACGTTTACTTATATTTTAGTGAATTCTAGTACAAGGAAACAAAAAGCGCTTATTTTTAACGACGGACGACACGGCGACCGTCGAGACGTTATCTAAAAAGAAAAAAAGTTGAACGTTAGCATTATCGAAGTTTGCGCGTTTGACTCGATGACGTGTATAAACGGTTAATACCGAAATCGTTACAAATTTACGGCTTCGTGTGTACGCAAAGATAGCAATGCCGGCGGAGATGAGCGAACGCGAATAGGATCGTGAAACGATGAAGCGAATAGAATCAAATCGGTAAAATATCAGTAACGTTCTCGGGCGGGCTTCCCAAGTTCACGCATCGACACCGAATTCTTGTCGTAATTTGCTAACTCGATGGATTCACGCGCCATTCATTCGTACGTGAATGCTGCCGCCACCACCGCCGCGTGCATTATTCACCTAATTCTAGCCTAATCGACGTCGGAGGTACTGTATCGCCAAAGTTCAGCGTGCTCGTGTACACGCGCATAGAGAAAATATTTTTGAATAATGTATATCTATATTGTATAATACGCGAAGAAATCATTTATAACGAGAAATTTAAATTGTTTCTAAATATGCAAATTTCATTTCACATACACACACGCACACGCGCGCGCGCGCGTGTGTGTGTGTGTATAATAAAATGATTACGTTATATAATATGTGTCGTTAGTCTATAGTCTATAATCTATAATCTATAATATACCGTTTCGTATAGTTTAACCAAACTTTCATTTTCGTCTCCTCGTTCGTACGTTATCAAGTAATTGCTACCTTTTCAAATATTGACGATAAAAGTCTGCAAATGAAATATTAAGGTCGCCGGAAAATTATAAAATTACCAACAACATATCAATTTTTCAATGGCTATCGTATAACTGAATCACTTCTATAAAAAGGATTGCTATTACGTTATCAGATAGACTAGTGAATTCGGGCTGTATCTACAATAAGCGTTGTATAAGTACCAGATATATGTATATGTTATTCTTTACAGATATATTATACGTATAATGTCATTGTTTTTAAAGAGAGCTGCAATCATAAAAAAAAATCGTTTAATCCAATCGTGTATAAATTATACTGACAACAATTTATTCCACTGACTCCTTAATATTGCCTATCATAGTGTTAATTACTAAATCCGGCATTATGTCATCATGTATGCACCGGTTAAAATTGCATGTCATTTGCACACTGCGTTCGTAAAGTAACAGTTTACAATATTTTGAATCCGTGAAGTTGTATGTTTAAGTAAGGAGCTCCGTATACCGTATACTTAGAACGAACAAATACATCAATTTCGGACAAATTCTGCTTGCATATTGATTTCAGTGGTGCTGTCACTTCATAGTTGACTAATTACTTGTGGATGTAATTGATAATTGTATGTACACGATGTACATTGATATCTGTCAAATACAAAAGAATATCGATTAACGGAATTTTTTGCAATTCAAAGCACATTCCAATGCTGTCGTAGTCTTTATTGAAGATTTTAACATCGGTATTGTATATTTACATTGTTAACTGTATCGAGTTTAATTAACATTGAATTTTATTATGTAGGTTAAAATGACGTGTGCGTTATCCAGCGTTATTTACGGCAAAATGCTACGGGTAGAGGGTGATATATCGGTGAATAGTGCCACCACAGACAAGATAAAAGAATAGACCTAACATGGAATGTAATTTCCTAACCCATGCATTCGGGGGCGTCAGTAGCCCCGCGACCATGTCAGTACTCCAATCAGTGCTAGCGAAACCGGGCCAATAATGTATGTATTAGAGATGGCGTGAACTGCTACTTGTGAATCACTCGTGATTCGATCACGTTCGTTCCCAATCACGATGATTTTTCACAGTGATTCGTGATTTCCCGTGATCGTTTCTTATTGGTTGAAGAAACCTAACAGTTCTTTACACGCGATACATAATTTGTATATTTCACATTAACGACATCAAAACAAAAATTAGGGTTATATCGTATAAAGTGAAGGAATAAGTAGAAACAATGAAGAATAATGAATAAATTAATGATTACAAATTATAATCTACATGTTACCTAGCAAATCATTTTTTTAGAATTTCTTGTTTTTTCTACTGATGTTTACAAACACGAATAGTAATGTAATTATCGTAAAATCATATTGAATACGTTTTTCTGTTTAAAGATCAAGGACTTACGATCGCAGTGAGCAAATTCACTCAAGATAGAAAAATCGCAATCACGGTTGTGAATGAAGTTAAATCACGACCGTGATCGTGATTCGGCGATCACGGTGATAAATCACCGTTAGTGATTTTGCATGCCACCTCTACCCAACACAAAAGTTGTTTCTGCGTTGAGAGACAATACACTACAATGCTATACTTTATCTGAAGTTTGTTAATAATTTATTGATTATTTCAGATGTTCAGTTTTGATGTTTAATTTATCGATCCTAAGTTTTGTAAATAATTTTATTAATAAATTTATCGTTGAGTTCAGCCGTGTGTACTTTTATTTATAAATCGTTGAAATTCTAATTGTACATCATACATCTCACACACACGGGGTCTCTTCAGCATGCTTCGGGGGCTCCGTGACCCCACATTCTCAGCCCACGTGATCAAAGGCGCCTCCACCGGGGCCACCGTGCAGGGTCTATGGCGCCGACACCAGGGGCTCCGTGACCCCTGCTCTCTCCCCGCGTGCCCAATGGCGCCGCAACCGGGGACTGCGTGACCCCGCACACGCAACCCGCGTGATCAATGGCGCCGCAACCGGGGCCGCCGGGCAGGGTCTAGTGCGTCCCCTACGGGGGCTCCGTGACCCAACGTGATCAATGGCACACGGTGACTCTTCGGATGCTCCAGGGGTTCTATGACCCCTCCGTCCTAGCTACTTGAACACTTTTTCGACCGGTGGCGCCACTCGTGGCAATTCACGCAAACTGCTAGCCAAAATCATACCGACAGGTGAGTGAATATTCCTAGTGATGGAAAAATGCGAATATCTCAGTAATTCAGCGTTCAAAATGAACGCCGTTAGTCTCATATTGTTCCCGAGTGCTTAATGCATTGACTCAATACTGCTGAATCCCAGAATTAATAAAATTATTTATGCCTGTATTAACGTTTACCCTCATGGAGCGGTATCCCTGTGTGCACAGGTTTCTATCGCATTTACACAGCTAAACGGGCATCATTCTTCTTCGTCTGGCATTAGATACGACGTTTAAAGACCGTAGATTAATACTCTCCAACGGCTGGAGACCAGTAATTACAAGAACTTTGTTAAAATCGCATTTAGTTGCAACGATTGACACTCTATCTGGTCATGCGTACCCCGGTTAGTTCACTTCGGACAGCTCGTACACCGTTATACGGACAGCTTTCGTTTAGTTGAAGCACTCAATTTGTAGCTGCAAATACGTAGATTAATCCACTGTTATTGATGATAACAATAAGCGACCAGAACACTGTCAAAATCGCATTTAATCGCGGAGTACCACTATATTGTTTGACCGGTGGCGCCATCCGTGGCGAAACGCTGAAACTGGTAGCCATATAATTGGCTAGCAGTTTCAGATATTCGCCACGGATGACGCCACCGGTCCAAAAAGTAGTGGTATTCCGCGATTAAATGCGATTTTAACATTGTTCTGGTTGTTTATTGTTATTTTCAATGACAGGAGATTAATCTACGTTCTTTTAGCTTCAAACTGAATGCATGATCAAGACGTAACTTGTCCATAGAACGTTGGAAAAGCTATTTAAAGTGAACTAAACGGGGTACGCATGGCGAGATACAGTGTCAACCGTTGCAAACAAATGCGATTTTAACAATGTTCTTGCGATTACTGGTCTCCAGCCGTTAGAGAATAGTAATCTACGTTTTTTAAACTTCGATTGTAATCCATGACGAGGAAAACTGATGCTCGTTTAGCAGTGTATATCCGATCGAAATCTGTTGCAATCACATAACCACTAAACAGGCAACACTTTTCTTCGTCATGCACCACATTCGAAGTTTAAAGAATGTAGATTAGCACCCTATAACGGCTGATTCGTCTTGCCCAGCACTCGACTTGTAGCTGAAAGAACGTAGATTAATCTCCTGTCAGTGGCAATAACAATAAACGACCAGAACACTGTTAAAATCGTATTTATTTGCAGAGTACCGCTATTTTTGGACCGGTGGCGCCATCCGTGGCGAAACGCTGAAACTGGTAGCCATATAATTGGCTAGTAGTTTCAGCGATTCGCCACGGATGGCGCCACCGGTCCAAAAATAGTGGTACTCTGCAAATAAATGCGATTTTAACAGTGTTCTGGTCGCTGATTGTCATTATCAATAACAGTGGATTAATCTACGTACCTTCAGCTACAAATCAAATTCTTGGCCAAGACGAATGCTGATCGTATAACACTGAGAGACCTGTCCAAATATGAAGAAAACGAGGAGTAGTTGACAGGACGTACCCAACAACAACAGTTGTAAACATTTATGTATGATTTACAATGTTCTTGTGACTACTGTTTCTCAAGCGATAAATTTGATTAATCTACGTTTTTTAAACTTGAAATCTTGTGCTTGGTTAAGACGACAGCTGTCCGTAATGTGTGACCATAGCATATACATATAATAGTGCATAATAGACTGCGCGGTCTGTATGTAGGTTTGAATCGATACCACCAAGGTATCGATACTTTCGCTTATAACTACTGTTGTACGAAGGTATCGATACTTTTGTTTCAATACCGAGTAAGTGTCGATACCTACTTGTATCGAATTATATTTTCCTAACCTTGATACGCAACACAAAATTTGTTTCTGCGTTGAGAGAGAATAAAATACAATACTGTACCTACTGTATCTCGTCATGCGTACCACGGTAAGTTCACTTTGGACAGCTCGTACACCGTTATACGGACAGCTTTCGTTTCGTTCTGAGAGACCTGTCCAAATATGAAGAAAACGAGGAGTAGTTGACAGGACGTACCCAACAACAACAGTTGTAAACATTTATGTATGATTTACAATGTTCTTGTGACTACTGTTTCTCAAGCGATAAATTTGATTAATCTACGTTTTTTAAACTTGAAATCTTGTGCTTGGTTAAGACGACAGCTGTCCGTAATGTGTGACCATAGCATATACATATAATAGTGCATAATAGACTGCGCGGTCTGTATGTAGGTTTGAATCGATACCACCAAGGTATCGATACTTTCGCTTATAACTACTGTTGTACGAAGGTATCGATACTTTTGTTTCAATACCGAGTAAGTGTCGATACCTACTTGTATCGAATTATATTTTCCTAACCTTGATACGCAACACAAAATTTGTTTCTGCGTTGAGAGAGAATAAAATACAATACTGTACCTTATATATTTATTTAAATATTTAATATAAAACATATAAACATAAACGTATGTATAAACTATATACGATATACGTAATATAAGATATACATGATAAATAAATATGTACACTCGCGAGCAAACTCGGCTTCCACTAGGGGAAAAAGTAGTGTTGGGAAAAGGCCTCCTACTATGCTTGTACCACTTGGTATTTGGAATTACTGAAGTTTATGGCAAATTAACATTCGATTTAATATTTATTTTAGTACCTGGAATAAATTTACTAAGTGGTAGAAGGCCCTTCTCTTACGTCACTTTTTGCCCTAGTGAAAGCCGAGTTTCCTCGTAGGTTTACATGAAAACTTTTCTTCGTTGACGAAATAAAGAAAACTTGGACTTTGCAATAGGCATTGTAGAAGTTTGGCTAGCTGAGCTTGGCTTGAATTCAGTCGAATATAACTCCTAAATTTAATGTTCTTATAACCACAGACGAGGTTATAGGAGTATGTACATATTTCATCTTATGAAAATTGGTGGCCCACCTAACTGTGGTACCGACACCTTAAAAGGCTTGTGATTTTGCGACCTCTATGTTATGAGAACGGTAAATCTACGATGTGGTAGTAGAAGAGTGGGCCGCATAAATACATTAGATGACATGTCTACTCCTATACCTCGTTTGTGGTATTATTTCCAAAACGATTATTCATTCTCAATGACGTGATGACGAGTACATTTATATTCTTATGCGCAGGTAGAATAGCATTCTCATTTCTATCGACGTTAAACGCGATCGTCTGTCCGACGTACATATGCGTTAAGTGTGCTCGTTTATTGTTAGCAAGGTATATGTACAATCATGCTTATCTATATACATATATACTTTTTTCTTTTATGCATGTATATACATACATACATACATACATACATACATACATACATACATACATACATATGTACATACGGTAAACAGATATCGCAGTATCAATGCATACGATTGCATCGGACTACACGCCACAGGACAAGGCCTATGTCAAAAACCCGTGTAGTGCCATCTACAAAAAACTGCCTAAGCTACTAGCTTATTAGTATTACCATTCAGCAGGTGGTGTTATCAGGTGATTCTTTATTGTGTACGGAATAACGCAGGATGTGCTTTGGTGCTCTTATAAGCATACCTTAATCCATTTGTGATGGCAAGAAAAAATTCTGTTTCCACAGATTTTGGTTTTTATTGTAACATCACCGTTACCTACTACATATACATACGTTGCTAACTTACATTGTACATACTTTTCCCGTGTTAATTCTGCCAGATGAATTTTTGCAAGTATAATAGAAATGTGATTCGAAGATAAAGTCGCAATTACGATTAAATAGATACCGCGGACGAGGAATGTACACGCATATGTGTACTTGTATGTATACATGTACATCATGTTAGAGGATCACAATGATTCGATGCAAGCGTAATACTTATTCGTTAAATCTATACATCTCTTGTTCGACTTGAAACGCGAACAATATACGTGACATTATACCTAATAAGTATACGATCTGGATTTTCATTTGACAAAACGGGAAAGTAAAGACGCACGTGACAGCAAGCTAAGCACTGATCGGGTAGAAGGAGTACTGTCGACGAGACCATCGTAACAAACGATGTGTATAGGGCATGCCGTATGAGTTATTCGTTAACGATAAACTGACCGAACAAACGGTCGTGTAAGAGGCTAAGCAAGCACATCAACGGTTATGATCAATCGGCATTAATTGGTTTAAGCGAGTATGTAACAAGTTCGTATTGATGAATTCGTGCCGATCGATTTTGATTGACTGCATTTTAACAACAGTGTACTATGTTTTGAAAGAAGAAACGTGACATCTGAAGGTAAAGAAAAAATTTGTCGTATAGCTCGTGTCAACCAATAAACGCGTCGTTCCAATTTCCAAGAATGTAACTTCATATTATGTATGTAGAGAGATTTACATTTTACCGATAACACGAAGAGTGAAAGAGTACGTTGTAATTATTTCGTGTTAATATCGTGCGAATCTTTCTTTAAATATCGACAATCGACCGTCAAGGCGTTGCCATCTTTATACTGGAAGCAAAAATAGACGCGGGAACGGCAGAACGGCACCGGAATGACGTTAACCGTACTTTACCTTTTTATCCCTCCATGCACAATTCGTTTTCTTTCGTGTATTTTCAAACATTCGTTGTACCTATCTATACGTATACTGTTCGAGCTTGTTTTACATAATAGTCAATTAGTAATGTCTCACTATTTAGATGAAAGCCAGTGTATTACCTATGTATTATATCTATAGTGGTCTTTCAGAATTTACGAAACGGTCTTAAGAAAAAGGGATCGTGAGTTATCCTTTAAACGGAAAACGTGAGTTTCAGCCGGAAGTAAGTTTTAATGTTAAAATAATGTTAGTTCTCCTTCTTTCTCGTTATGATTCAGACGTAAACCGGCTACATTACCTAGGTGCAGCATTTTTTAAAATGATGTCTATAGGTAGAGAAGCGAATAAATGGACTCCAAAATTAATAATCGTTTTTCAACTGACTATTTGGACTGTCGTTGGGCTTATATTTCTTCGAAAAGGTGCAAACTCTTTATGCGATATAAAGGATACGATACGAAACGACACTGCTGATACACAGGTTTGACATTTCTGTTGATCACGAAAATATATACATATATGTATTGTATACGATACCGTGACCAAAGGTGCGCGTGCATCATTGCTGTACGACACGTATTATGCAGGACGAATACTCGTGATATTTCCATGCATGTTAATGAAAACATGTGCAACGTATACAATTCCTATGTCATATTACACTTATGCATTTTTTGTACATCCTGTATACACCATAGGAACGCGCGCGCGCACACCTTGCACGCACACAGCTTCTTTAAACGCGAGGATTTAAAACTGTATCTATGTATTATAAAGAATCAATTCTCGTTTTCCATTTAGATGGAATTGAATCTGAATTCTAGAAACAAATGGTAAAATTGAATATCGATCGATCGATCGATCGTATTTTCTATCGCGAATATTTTTATTCTTTCATCACTGAGACTCGACGTATTATACACATACGTATGTACATATGTACATAGTTAGATGGAATATCAAATTTCTCTACAATTAGTAGACAGCGGATTTTTATGCAAAATTATATTTTCTAAAGTAATTCATAAAGAGAAGAGCAAATGTAGAAATTTCTTTCTTCTTTTAAGTATCCTATTGGGTTCAGAATAAAATAAAAAATTTGTTGGATCTGATGAAAGCTTTGTTTTTTTTTATTGTATTTTACAAACCTGTATAGGCTATAAATACATAAATATCCGCAGTCTAGCAATTATAGTTTTTATGTCCATATTTATTTCTTAATGTTTCGTATATACATATAAATGTTTGGGAAACAAATAGATGAACTAGCGAAAGATTCGAGAACACTATTTTTACAGGAAACGATCGTGAGGTGGAATGAAAAACAATCGATTCAAGAGTCGAGTATCATAAAAAATCGGCATCGAATTGCCGAATATGAGGTTACAACGTGGCGGAAGGACGTCGTGGCCCTTGATAGTTCCAAAAAAACTGCGGGAAATGGAAAATGGTTATCGCGCAAACCGTACATTTCTTATCGGCTGGACAATATTGGTAGAAGAATTCCTGAGAAGAGTTCAACGAATAGGAAACTAACTACGAATGATGATGTACAAGACACTCGAGGCATTCGTGCGATACCCGGTCGAACAATTACTGCATCCAACAGAAACAAAGACGAAAAAATAGATCACAAAGAAAGTGCCGTCGTGGTAACGTTCGATCAAAGTAGTTATAATGTGAAAAAAGTTCTGATAGATAATGACGCATCGAGCTCATCGTTTCAATTGGAAAACTCTAGCTCCGTTAATGTTGTTACATCAGATGACAGAGATCTTTTCGAAATTGACGAGTACGATACCCGCTATAAGGCAACAAGAATCGACAGGATTGAAAAAAAATTACGACGCACTCCTGTCAATCGAGTTGGTGCGGCTGCTGCCATAACTATGTTGGCGATTGGTGTTGTTATGCTACTTTTAGGACCACTTATCATTATTCTACGAGCTTTCGGTGATAGAAGACGTTCCAGACAAATATTCTTAAAATCAAGGTGTCACGCCGATCGACCACCCACGTACGAAGAAGCGGTCTTAATGGACCAAGCACCGAGATATTCGACGCTACAACTAGACACTATTCCAGAGTCTTCCTTCTTCCTTTAAACTATTTCCTTAATTTATATATCTATTAAACGGTTTACAGCGATCGATGTGTTTCCTGTAACTCCTTCTTATATTCACTTTTATATGTATATATGTATATGAGCTATACCTACATATTATTATCGCTTCTCCATCTCATCCTTCTATCGCTGCGGCTTGAATGATGAGTCGTAGTTTTGGTAAAGTTTGAATTATTAATTGCAAATCATACATTTTGTCTCTGTAATTATGTAGGTGATCTATATGCGTGGGCTTAAAAAATATATAGAACGTAACGTAACTTATTATTCACGAAATTATTTTGATTTTCTTTCTTTTCGTTGATCAATAATTGTTAAATTGATAAAATTGATAACCGAATCCATTTGATTTAAGTATGTGCACGGACGAAACAAAATAGAAGCGTTCGAATCGAACCGAACAAAACTAAACATATGGGAAAAAACTAAAATACGACTTCCCAAATGGACAGAACGGAACGGAATGGAATGGATCGGAACGAAACCAAACAGAATGAGACAAGGAAGACAAGTCAGTGACGTCAGTGATTCGAGTCAAGATGGTACTGGAAAGTACGATGATATGGTAAGCATTGATATTTTTTGAATTTATCCAAAATAGTACCGTATTTTCTTACTTTGTGGCCTATATAATCAAAATTTGATGGCACCTCACAAATTTCCATGTGATTCTATAAAAATAGAGACCTCGATATCTTGGAAAATTTAGATGCGAGAGTGACAGTGCAAAGTTGAAACCATTTGTAGCGGACTTACCATGAATTTTCTTTAGAAAATTATATTACTGAATATTGGTTATGATAGAAGTAAAAAAGTCGTCAAGTATCATACTTTAATAATAAAAAGTTTAAGTAAAAGTTTTCGATTTACTAGCAGTTAAAACTATTAGGTTAAGGATTGTATAATTCGAAATGGAACAGCTTTGCGAGATAGTTTACAAACTTAAACCGTTTATCAATGCTTCCTTGAAAAATGTTCAGTGTCGACAACAGCGATTACATGAGGAATGGAGATTTTTTACCGACGCGACTTCAAGCACAACAGGATGCCGTTAATTTGGTTTGTCACTCCAAGGCACGCTCGAATCCCGAGAACAACGTTGGTTTAATAACATTAGCCAAGTACGTGTGATCATTCTGTATGTTAAGTAATCTTTGAAAAGGCTGTTTCTATCGTTGCTCTTATTTCTATTTTGCTAAACAGTGTAGAAGTATTGGCTACTTTAACCAGCGATGTAGGTAGAATTCTATCAAAGCTTCATCAAGTACAACCAAATGGCAATCTAAGTTTGATTACTGGAATAAGAATTGCACACGTGAGTATATTAATTATTTTTTTCACTCTTTAATATAAACAGAACGATCATAATAACCATAGATAAAATAATAAAAAACAGCTAGCCTTGAAGCATCGTCAAGGTAAAAATCATAAAATGCGTATCGTGGCTTTCATCGGTAGTCCAATAGAAATTGATGAAGAGGAACTTGTGAAATTAGCAAAACGATTGAAGAAAGAGAAAGTGAATGTGGACATAATTAGCTTTGGAGAGGAAAGTGCCAATAATGAAGTGTTGACAGCTTTCATTAATGTTCTCAACTGGAAGGATGGTACAGGCAGTCACTTGGTTACTGTTCCACCTGGGCCACACCTGTCTGATGCATTGATTTCTTCTCCCATTATTCAAGGAGAAGATGGAATGGGTGGTACAGGCATGGGAGGAGCTGCTTATGAATTTGGTGTCGATCCGAACGAAGATCCAGAGTTGGCATTGGTTTGTATTTCATAGTTTTTATACTTTCCTTATTGACAATGTTTTTGACCGGTTTCTTTGTCCAGGCATTACGTGTTTCAATGGAAGAACAACGGCAGCGTCAAGAAGACGAAGCACGACGTGCACAGGCAACTGAAGCTGCTACAAATAAACAACTAGAACCAGAAACTATTAAAGCAGTACCCAACGAAGAAGCAATGTTGAAACGTGCTCTTGCGATGTCGCTCGAGAGTGCAGAAGATTCATCTTCAGCTTCTGACAATACTACACCGTCAAGTGGAAATGTGCCAGATTTTGCCCGTATGACAGAAGAGGAGCAAATTGCTTTTGCCATGCAGATGTCCATGCAAGATCAACGTACGACACATGCATATACACATTTACGGATACATGCGAGAGACAGCTCAAGCTATTGTGTCTTCTTTTTTCCCTTTTTAGAGGAGCTCGAGTCCTTGAAGGGAGACGCAATGGAAGTCGAGGAAGACTATGCCACTGTTATGTCTGATCCAGCATTTTTGCAGTCAGTTTTAGAGAATTTACCGGGTGTCGATCCTCATTCTGAAGCCGTTCGTCAAGCTGTTGGATCTCTTCAACAAAACAAGGATAAAGATAAAGAGAAGGAAAAGGAGAAAGATAAAGATAAGGAAAAGAAATGAAAATTTGTGCTCCTTGAATATCTGACTACATTATGTTAATCGCTGTATTGTGAATACATCTATGTCAAATATAAGTTTTCGATTTTTCAGGACTTCGTCTTTTATGTAGTCAGCAGTATGCGCCTACACGCAGAACTTCCTGTATGTTCACATTCATTCCGTGGTCCTTTCTTCTTTCTTCGATGCTACTGACACTGACTGACACTGATTTAGAGTTATCCCCATGTTATCCCCTCCTTTCTTATTTCTCACTGTTGCACTTTCGCGTAGTGGTGGTGGTGGTGGTTCGTTTTGTCGTATATATGTATATAAGTACATATACCGGTATACCGGTAAAAGAGAAGCGTTAAACTCCAAAATGGCGCCACATAGGAAAAGTAGCGGAACGATTCGTGGTTCTCTTAATGAAACTTTCGACAAAGAAAACAATTATTTACGTTCATTGAGCGATTATCAAGCACGAGTTAGAAGGCGAGAAAGCATTCGGAACTGTAGAAACGTAGGGGTAAGTTTGTTTTGACAAACGGTGAAATTTATTTGTTTACTATTTTTTATTCATTTTACTAGAAGATATTTTCCAGTTTGTTCATTGTATTTACTCAGTTTTAAATTATACATAAACAGAAGTTAAATTTACTCAAAGAGTTGAAGGATTTGTACCAACTAGTGAAATTCTTTTGTTGGTAGGTTATCCATTGCTTCTGTTTATGAAAAAGGTGTATAATGAAATGTTTTGCAAAAAGTACACTGTGAACGAGTATATGTACCGTCGTTTGGCACTGTGTAACTGTTTTCGATAACTGTTGCAGGATTTGTGAAAGAAATTCAAAATCGTAATTTCAGTTTAAAAGGGTATTTAATAAATTCACGAAACATTATTTTCCTTTAGGAGTATGATTTAGAACGAAAAATCGAGCTAGAAGTTAAAATGAAGGAAGGTTCATCAAGATTATTAGCTGCTGCACAGCATCCTGCTCAAAGCTTGGAAGCAGCACGTGCCCTACTTACTTCGAGCAAAAGAATGTCTATTTATATGGCTGAGCTACAACATCGTGGCAAAAATATGGCAACCTTAAAAACAAGGTACTCTTCCTTTAACCCTACAATGGTCAATGAAAACAACAATGTGACAGGCTGATACCGGATCACTTTGACCTATACCAGTATTTTTGGTATACTTACTTTAAACTTTGTAGCTTTTTCAGACAAACTATTATCTAAACAGTAATGTTTACGATGTATAAAGAGGAAGGGAATCTGTTAAAACTGCAAATATTTCATAACGGTATATTTTATTTACATACAGTGTTTTGCATAAAATTATGTATCATCGATTGATGTATAATACTATTGCTGTGTACTGATACTTCAGTGTTATGATTATGTTGACCTGAAAGTTCACTAAACACAGACATAGCTGGTTGGATGTTTTCTTCCCCCTGGTATTTTTGATACTGCCTGCTGAAGACATTGAAACTCTTCAGGCAATTATTGTTTAGGTTACAGCGGTAAAACTCAGCCGTGCGCCTGCTCTCTGCTACACTTAAAACATAAACATGGGTCAAAGTGACCCGGGTATCGACTGGGCAAGGGTTAACGGAGAACGTCTAGATACTAGTTGTAACATATAACATAATATGTTACAGTGTTTCCAACGGTGAAGGAAAATTATCCATTTCGGATCTCAGATTCCCCTTGATGTGGAGAGATTCAGATCATTTTAAAAATCGTGGAGATCATCGAAGGTTCGCGGTTTTTTGCTTGGCTCGTGTTGGGGCAGAAATTCATGATACAACCTTACTCTATCCTATTGATAGAGAACAAACTGACGTTAGTTTTCCTGATGTTTTGTTATTGTAAGATATCGTCCAATCTTGTACACTCTTAACTAATTCTATTCGTTCGTTTAAAAAAAAGAATACACGCTTTTTCGCAATTTTCATTGGTATGTCACCGAAAGAATCAATATCATTCTATTCCCAGTAACAATGTACCAGCAGACTTCGAGTTAATCTTAGAGATCTACTGTCACGTTTTACAAGAAGATCTTAGCATTGCCAGTACACCAAGGAGAATCGGAAGAACTATTCATTCGTCGATTTCGAAAACTGTGGGTAGAAAGTTTGCGTTATCTTTGCGAGATGAATACGAGTGTAACAAGGCGTGAGTTTTCACTCTTCTTATCTTATGATACAGTTCTTGTAGAAATTTCTCAGTTATATGTATGTATGTAATTTATTCTCTTTCAGAGGACCACAGTTCCACTTAGCGGCTTATGCAAAACTGACTCTTAACGATACAGACAGGAATACACGGACGCACGACTTGTCGCTGATCAAGTTTGGTACAGGTTGATCTGAATCCGTAATTTCTTTCTATCCTTCTTTCGAAAATTTCGTCTTGAATAGTGATGATATACATTGTTATTCAATGAACTTATGCCAAGTTTGAAATTTTACATTTCAGAAACTAAAACTTATGCTCTGCCGCTGTTCGGACATTTCTGTTGCCGTTTGGCTGTACAGCCAAATAATGTTGACAAAAAGGTATGCACAGGATTCGTAATCATAAACGGTCAACGGTGCTGGGCACGGTTGTGCGGTTTTGAAATAGAAGCATGGAACACACAGAGCCATTCAGAAGAATTACAGGAACCTGTGCTTACGATTTGCGTGAACAAAGTTAGTAAAAATACGACAATAAGTTGAAACACTGCAAAAATTCAGATATCGATAACAGTCGCGTGGTAATAGGACGATGAACTTTTATTTCAGGAGACTACTGTCCGACAATTGAAATCTATGAACAATCAACTACGGATAGTCAATTGTACCGATAGCGTCAAGAAGCGCGACACTGTGGAATTTAATTCAGAGGATGATGTCCAAAAATGGTTGAAACAATTAATACAGCGTATCGACGAACATTCAAGATGGAAACATGCAGCAATAGACGCCCAGCGAATACCATGTTCTGAAAATTCACGCACGAATTCAAGTGCGAGAAATTCATTCGATGTCAACAGACGAAAAGGATCCCTCTACGACGAAATTCCTATAATTGATAACGCCTTCTAGAAGATGGAAGAAGTTTCTTTGAATAAATACGTGTTTTCTCATGCATTTCTAAATTTATGTTTGGCATGGAAATAACTTGCGCAGCACATTTAACCATAATAGGTATAATTTATTAAAACTTTATCCTATCTAAATCAGTTACAAGTTTTTGTAATAATTTTATGTTTCAACAACCAAATTGGTTTCATCCATTAACCATTAAGATTTATAATAATTAAAATGTGTTCATTCTGAACAAAAATTTTCAGACGAAGTTTTTATGACTCTTGATTTCTGGTTGAAATCAGAAATCCAACAACCACGGAAAAGATAGTGAATGCCTGTGCACCTACTCGTGCACGCATCATATATTGAGACATTTTGGCATTTCCTGTAGAAAAATTCCAAAGACCATAACAAAGAGCACTTACAGTTGCCAAAACACCTAAAGCAATAAGAAAACCATATATCAGCTTTTTAATAGAAATTGAGCCTCCTTTACTGTATGTAATCCAAATAATATTGTCATGTTGGTAATATTTATGTTTACCTATGGGCACTGTAGGGTTTTCCACAGTTTTGCGTATTATTTTCTCTTTAAATGTTTCAACGTTGTCATTTTCATAAAATTCATTGCGTATTTGAATCCAATCCAATTCATTGAGCATTTCTGATTTTTCTGATATATTTTGAGACATCGTTTATATGAATAATGGCAAAGGTTGAAACAACACACTGACTCTTGAAAAGCAGAATCATTTGATTTGTTTATCAATTATTGCGTATATTTTTAAAACTATATTACGTGCAAAGAAAACATATTCTAACTGTATTTACAATAATGACACCGAGCTTACCTCTTGCGTGTTGTTCGTGTAAATATGTGCTGATATGTACTTACCACTGCTTTCAGCCACTTTCAGCGTAGTCTCACGGCTCTGCTCTCACCAGCTCTCACGCGTAATACGCCTTTCGACCATAAACATATACTCAACACACGCGATCTCTTGCGCATGCTTCGGGGGTTCTATGACCCCACTTTCTAACACACACGGGTCTCTTACGCATGCTTCGCGGGTTCTATGACCCCTCTTACCAAGCTACTACACAGTACCCTCACGAGCAAACTCGTTTCGACGAGGGGAAAAAGTGGCGTAGAAGGAAAGTCTTCTACCACTTAGTAAATTTATTTCAAGTACCGAAATAAATGTTAAAATGCATGTTAATTTTGCCATAAATTTCAGAAACTTCCGAAACCGAATGGAAGAAGGCCCTATCCTTAGGTCACTTTTTTACTCGTATTTACTTGTATCGATTCATCCCTACGTCGGAGTATCCCCCACCAACAGCCCCGTTAGAAAAAAAGGAAAACTACTCCAGTTATTGTTCTCTCCCTCTCTAGTGCCGACTTGAGATAACATAAGACCGTGCAGTCTATTATATATGTCTATGGTCCAATCAGGTTGAACGCTATATAAATTTATACGATTTATACTTATCTGTACTTATCAGTACTTATCGGTGCTTATCGGTATCATCGGTATGTCGGTCGTCGTTGTATGTAATATGTACAGTCCAGTGTAGTCATATTGAGTCATATTTGTAATGAGATGATGAATGAATGAAAACTGCCTCGAGTGGTCGCGAAGTGTCGTTAATTTTTTTGTATATTACATTGCTTCGGCAGCTTACAGAGAAGCTGTAGGTGTTTCTTCTGAATAGATTGCGTACCGATTATACGCAAAGAAAGATAAAGTGGAAGAGAGTTGAAATTGTTTGTCCCCGAGATTTCAGGTACTAGTACATATATCTGTATGTATGTACATATGTAAGTAAGTATGTACATATATTGTATACACCTCCTCGTGTTTCTGTCAGTTTGCACGTTTCGACATCCGAAACATGCAACATGTTTACCTACCGCTCGACTGATCTTATGACCACATGTTATACTTACCCTGTGGCGACCTTACATAATATATGTAAGTATATATATAATTATATATACACGTATATACATATTTAGAATAGATGCGGTGGTAGAATTGGATTGAATTGGATACAATGGCTGGTAAGACGCGAGACACTGGAGAATTCAAACTCGTATCCCGTAGAAAGAAACGTGTTTCTTACGTGCAAAATAATTCGGGTTTTTCAAAAATGTTGCGAGTGAATAGAAATGTGTTCATTCGTTTATTTGGAATTATGTGTGATTTAGCTACTAATCCATTATTATTTTACAATCATTTTCAGAGAACTGCTCGAGGCAGAGACTGAATTGAGAAATTCATTGTTTGCAGATAATGTGTTGCATTCTATGACAATGTCTTTAAATGCTTTGAATATCAATGGTATATCTGAGATTCTGTGTTATGGTTTAGGACGTTTTTCACGTCTTAGGTCTGCCAAATACCAATTGGCATTACTTTTGTCTTTGAGAAACCATTATGGTTCGCAAGTATACATGTATGACCCAATTTTTTCTTCGAAAGAAATTAAACTTTTGACAAGATTTGGTTTCAACATTTTAAATATTAACGAGGAAGGCAAACGAGTTATTCAGGATAACATAACATTAGTGTATATGCCACATTGTTCGATACATTTAATTAATAATTTCCTTTATGCAAATTGGACCAAGAAATTAAACAAGTGTATCCTTTTGACAAATAGCTTTACAGTTGTTGTCGATAATTTGATAGGCACCAATAAAATGTCTGCTCGTATCGATTACATTTTACGTATTCGTCCGTATGTCACAGAAATTGCTTTGGAGAATAATTTTATATGCGAGGAAGCATTCAATGACTTAAATATTCACATATTTCTGGAAAAAGATATTGATGCAGTGCCTAAGAGTTTCTGGATCGATAGAGTGGAACCTTGCTACCTACATACGACCATTGATTATTTCACTGCCAAACAAACGGAACGAATAGATGCTAAAAATTGTAACTATATTTCCGGGTTCCACTCGTTAGACCCTTGATATTGCACGTGTGGCCGTTTTCGTTAAAAAATTTATTCAGAAATTTTAACATTAATAGTATTGAAATAATGCTGAATAACTGTATCACTACCTATATTTTCAATATTTTATTGTTAATAATTGATATTGTTTGCCACAGGTGGTCAGCCCGACGATGAAATCTAACGTACAGTTGATTCGCTCGCTTATACGAGAAGTTCGACGGACGTCGTCGGAACAGAACACGAAGAATGATATCGTGGTGCATTACATTTTGGAACAAGCGCAAGCTCACAGAGAAACTTCCCAAACACTGTGTAAGGCGCGAGAGGAATTAAAAAATTCAGCGGAAACATATTTCTGTTATTTGAATTCCCAGCGAATGTGCAAAGAAATTCAAGCACGTTACACTGGTAAAGGTGAACGAAGTATCAAGGAAACTGCTGATCTCGTCGGATTTAAATTACCTCATGATCCGAAATGATCTCCGCAAACGCCGCTATAAAATTCATAATAACGAATAAGATGCGATTTTATTAAGCATCGAGATTGTATAAAAAAGTAGAAAAAGTATGATGTATGAAATCAAGTAGAAAATAAAGCTCCGTCAGTAACGATGATGAATTCATGAATATTCTCTTCGAATACACTTTGCTATGGTTGATAACTGCATGTTGCTGGTGCCTTCGTAAATAGTACCAATTTTCGAGTCTCTGAAGAACTTTTCTTGAGGAAAATCAGTTGTATATCCTACTCCACCCACAAAATCGATGCATTTTGCGGTAACACGTAAAGCCGTTTCTAAGTTTCAAAAGATTACGATTAATCGGTCTGGGTTAGTATCGCTACGTTTTGGATAATACTAAAGAAAGATAGGTAATTCCTGGCCACACTATATTCTGTAAACATATATGTATGCACACACACCCACATATACATACCAGACGCTACAAGCTTCGCCATAGCAGCCTCTTTTATGACGTCCTTTTTAGCATCGACTAATCTAGCTGCATTATAGACCAGTAATCTGGCGCACTCGAGATCCGTGACCACTTGGGCAATTTGGTGTTGCATAGACTGCGAGAACATTAAGCAATTGCACCGTTCTATTTCTATTTCTTACGTCTGAAGAAAAATATTAATTATTTTGTTATACCTGAAACGAAAAAATATCTTTGCCGAATTGTTTCCTTTCCAAGGTGTATGGTATTGTGGCATCCAAGCAGCCTTGTGCTACACCAATCATTTGTGCTCCGATACCAATTCGACCTTCGTTCAGAAATCCAGCCGCATATTTGTAACCATGACCAAACTCTCCTAAGATGTTACCTTCCGGAACCTATTTCAGTAGATATATGTACAACGAATTGCGGTAAAAACATATGGAATTGTCTGAACTCCCAGACAATGCATCTATATGTATAAATATGTTGAATGTAATTTGATTACGAGGAATCGTTTTGTTTACTTTGACATTATCGAAATGGATCATGCAGGTACCCGACGCCTTTATTCCCAGTTTATCCTCCGGTTTGGCGACTGTCAATCCGGGTGTATTTCGTTCTACGAAGAAAGCTGTAATGCCACGGTATCCCTAAAATGTAATGTTTATTGTCATGATTCGTATCGGTGTATACCTTATATTTTCGTTTTCACATATCTAGGTGTATATTCCGCCTTAACAAGTTGAACTTTCATAGTAATCGACATTTTCAAGATCATTACGTGTACAGTTAAGTACATATACCTACATACATATGTATCTATGTACCTATACTCTCGACAGTCATTCGAATATTTTTATTCAGTCTCTTTGACTTTCATCGAAAATTATAGACGTAGCATGTGTGTGTGTAGGGGGGGGGGATATAACAGTCGAATTTTGAACTTACGATGGAAGGATTTGCATTTGCAAAAACTATAAATAATCCGGCAATGTCAGAATTTGAAATCCACATTTTTGTACCGTTTATCACATAATCGGTCCCATCTTTCTTTGCTTCAGTTTTCAACGAAAACGCATCGGATCCCGATCCAGGCTCTGTGAGACAGAAGCTACCCGCCTATAAAAAGAAAATCGTATGGAAACGATACGATGAATATTATTTGTATTTCCGTTTATTCACTCGATAATATATGTACACCTTATTGTGTTTTCGACGGCAAATGTTTCTACTTACGTAATTTTGAGCTAACCGCGGCAAGTACTTCGCTTTTTGTTCTTCGGAGCCGACTTTTGAAATCAACGAATTTACCAGCGTGTTATGGATATCAACTAATGCCGCGACGGCACCATCAACTTTGGCCACTTCTTCGACCGTTAAGATCGTTGACATGAAATTACATCCAGAACCACCATATTTATCAGGTATTTCAATACCCATTAACTGTCGATAAAATAGATGATGCAAATATCGGTTTTAATCATACGATTTGAAAAATGGTACACATGATCATCGAGAAGCAGGGCAATGATAACGCATATGAGATTAAGCTATTCCCCGCATAAAAATATGCTGCATATGCATATGTATGTACATACATATGTATACAAACACGATGATCAGACTGTTTACTTACACCATTTTCGAAGAGCTTTTGCAGCACTCCTTCATCTATTTTACCATCTTTCTCCATTTTACGCACGAGTGGCGCAATTTCTTCCTTTGCTAGTTTACGAACTGAAAATACCATAAAATTCTTGAATATCGTGTGATACATTAAAATCCATTTTGTTTGGACCTTCTACAATGAAGACCGGTAGGTAAATAATTGGAAAAATTGGAATTATTTAAACGGTAACTACCACTTTCTTTCATGAGGAGTTCATCGTCTGTGAACTGAGACAAAGGTCCAGGACAGTGATTGTACCATGGTCTACTCGTACCCAAATACCTTTTAACTTGCATACTTCGTGGGATCTGAATAGAAAAATAATTGTTAGGTAATTAATTATTAATTACAGTCAACCTGTAGTAGTTGAGCGACCTATATAATTTACCGATAACGATATCGAACTTGCTATCGCATAAGGAAATAACAGTGTACGTAAAGGATAAACTTGGCGAACAACGAAAAAAGAAAAGTGTGTGGTGTGCATCGTATTTGTTCAATAATGAAGAAAAAAATTGCGTAATTACGATTAGTTGTTGTTGTTGTTGCTCGAGGACTATCAGTAATAAAGACGTAACATGCGATGTCGTGTTCCGTGATTTCAATCGGCATTATTCCAATAAGTGTAAAACGAAAATGAATTTTTTCGCGAATCGATGTTTCTTTGGGCGTTTGTATTGACGTAACATTTGATAGAATAATATTAAGTATTCAACGTTGAACGTCTGATAAATTGAAAGTAGACTTGGAATAGTTTAAGTAGGACGTGGCATCGTACATCGTGTGCCGAATTGATAAAATTCATGGCGCTTTGGCGCATCGGTATTCGAAGTCGAGATTTGGACTAAATGTTACGTCGAACACACATTAAGTATAACATATCGAATACCTCTATAATCACGCATACGTGTACCTACATAGGTACATATTAAATTTCCAAGAAACAAGTATAGGTACGATGATCCGCCCAAAATATTCCGAATGCATAAAAACTAATGCTGCCTCGGTCTTTCCAGCAACAAATATTAATTATATAAATAAAATAGTCGGTGTAACTCCGAGGGGCTAATGTTCATCTTCGATTGGCTAATAATCTCAACAATTATTTGGACCTGTGTTTTTCTTATTTTTTCTTCCGAATTAATTGGCAGACTGTTGACTGAATTCGACGATACAAGTGTCGAGGTCCGGTTTCTGACATAATAGGTAATTCGATGGGTAACGGCTACATTGTTATAATTCCAGTACTACATATTGTATGTCGTACTTATCGTCTAACCAAGTTGTTAGAGAAAATTTTATTTGTTTTTTTAATAATTACGAGAATCTTTGAATCGGGATAATTCGCGAGTCAAGTCTCGTTGAATATTGTTTTATCAAGTGTTTCTACGTAAGAATTATTAATTCGATAGAAGAGTCCGATAGATAGAATTAGAGTCGTAAAAATTTTCTGTGCATACGTACTTGTCGTATTAGCGATGTAAATAAATTTATATTCACTTTGAAGTTCATGTTTCAAATATGAATTTCTTTCGATTTTTTATTTTAACTGATAATATAGAAGACGTAAATGTATACGTAAATCTAACTACTTGAATGAAGTATAAATCCGTGTTGCTTGGTTCCACGCTAAAGTAAGACTGACTGGATCGCGATGTTGTGAATACGGGCCCCCCTCGAAACTCCGTTTATTCTGTTCGACCGTCGAACTGGTTCTTATATAATGAGAGAAAAAACAATTACCGATAGAACGGTGAACCCATTTAAATTATGCGACTTGTGTAAACTGTTAATTTTGTTAGAAAATCGCTAGATCGCCACGTACATAAGCTAATCTGGAAGGTATTATGACGTACATACGTACACAAATGAATTTGTAATATACACACACACGCACACACACACACACACACGTTGCTGTACTTGTGTCAAAAAGCGGATGGCGAGAGATTATATATTTTATTTCAATAAACAGAACAATGTAAAATACGTTTTACGGACTTTTGTTATTTATTTTCTTTTGTTATAACACTTGTTCCATTTCTTTGCTACGTCAGATTATTATGAATTAAATATGACGCATTGATCGTCTAAATAAGTTACTGAATTAGAAACCCCATTTTTTATATATGATGTATATGAAATATCGTTAAGAGGGTACGTTATATATTTGTACCTATATGTATCTGTGTCGTACCTGAATAGCGTTTTTCGATCATAATTCTATGATCTAAAAGTGACGTCATAACTAGACAGAATAATAGTGTGTTTCTCATCGTTTATTGGCCTACTTTAAACTATGCGTGCTCTATATGTATAAGTATATGTTATATGTATATGAAATACACAATAAAAGAGATATCTGTATTTGACTGCAAAGAAACAGCGGCAGCAGAGAAAAGCGCGTCGTAAGAATATCCTAATCCTGTCATGCAGGTGTATGCCACTTGTCATGACCATTGATATTGATACAAATTGGTATTGTATACTGTATACCATGATAAAAAGTTAATGAGAGAAAGTCAAGATAGAAACGCGATAGCAGGTGTATAGTAACTTTATAACCATTACTCCGATTTTTATGGTATAATATCATCTCGTCCATGTCCGGATCTAAGCGAATGCGATATTTTCTCACGATTGAAGTAAGAACATTTCAAATATTTTCCAAGATTGTACTAACGAAACTGTTTTTAATATACACATATGTATATATATATAGTACACGATATGTAGTATACAATGCGTCATTGGCTCCTTGAAAGTCAAATAGGTACTTGTCATTGGACGTTACGTTTGGGACAGCCAATCGAATAAAGTGTTTTCGAGAATCGATCTCTCGCGCAGAGATGTCGGTAAAGTTTCATGAATCGGTGCGCAACAGTATTATGCGCATGTTCCGCGTGTTCAACGTAAAGTAGGCGAGGAAGACGGAGGAAGGAGTGAAGGAGAGCAGAGAACGTTGGCTCGAACCGCTCGAACTGAGATGAAGGAGGGAAGAAGTCTGTAAAACTAGCAACAAAAGCACCGATACAACCGAGCAAAACAATCAAATACAAAAGGAGCAAATGTAAAAGAAGAGGTTAAACGGCATCTGTCCAATACAGCAGCAGTGTAAAACGGCAAAGGGAGATACTTGCTTCGAAGTGCTAACAAAAGCTTGGCAAGGAGCGGCGGACAGAGCCGAGGGTGGAAGTGGAAGTGGAAGTGGTGGTGGAGGTGGTAGTAGTAGTCATAGTAGTACGGTAGAAGCAGGAGGAGGAGAAGGCTCGAGGAAGGTTTGCCAGCCGCCGGAAGAGCATCGACGGCGACGGGGGCGGGGAAGCTGTCCACCGAACGGAATGACCGCTCGGTGATACGAACGGCGAGTCGAACGATCTCCCGAACGGATACGAATATATCAACTTTCGGCAATAGTCACCGATTTTCTGTCAGGTATGTCTTGTGAGTGACCCGGAAAATCGTATTGAACGCGTGAATAAGTTTCAGATTTGCTAGGGTGTCGAGACGCGAAAGAGAATCGTGATTACAAATAATTGACAGGAATGACGTAGCTTAAGGGGTGTGTCGAGTCGATTAGGCGGCAATCTTGGATGGATTTTGGCGTGTCTGTAAACGCTTTCGAATAATTTGTAATACTCGACCGTCGATCGTTTCGGTTCCATTTGAGTTTCAAGTATTTCGTAAAAGTATTGCAACAGCAATTACCGAGATACTTGTTGTGATAGTTACGCCATCGAAAACCATCGCTTTCCGCCGCTGTATCGCCATTTGCATTATTAAATCATTGACCTTATTTTCTTTGTATTTGCCATCGAAAAGACGAAACATCTCTTCGTGTGCGTAATTGACAAATTAATGTTTTATGCAGCGAAACGGCGCCATTCTGTCGTTTTTGTTCTAATATATATATATATACATATATATAATCGTTTCTGTTATACATATTGTGCATACATCTCCCGTTACCTAGTGCGGACAATAGTGATGGGTATAACAGTGTCGTCAGGGCTTGTTTCGAATGGAACACGTACGTTAATTTCTTTCTTCTCTGTACTCATTCAATTGATCTGTTGATAATTGTTTGTAGCATTACAAGAAAAAACTTACAGGGATATCTTAGAATCTAGAGACATGTATATACATATATCGTTGTAGGTGAAAACTGACAACGAGATGTGTCCAAAGTAAACGTTAACGTTGCTTCATAACTATCGACACTGAGTGTTTTTACGTTTACAGCTAATAAATCGATACATTCGTATTCCGGTCATTTGGGCGTATTCACACGAATAACCATAAACAGAGTTCGTCTCGACGTCCTCATGATCGTCGTAAAGTAACAGTTGTTGATTGAGATGTAATGTGGTTGCGTATATTTATTTAAGTCCCAGGTAGTACTGTGGATAAATTTGTAATTGTTTTGAATTCTGCCGCGAGAAATGCAACTGAAAAATGTAGCAGCAAAAGGAACGAAGCACATCTCCCAGCAATGAATGTGTGATATGTCTGCCTGTTCCTCCCTTTTGCCGTAATAACTCGAGACCGCTCGCGCGCAATCTATCGTCTATGGCTTGGAAATAAACTGGCTGCTCTCTCGGGTTTCGATTCTATAGAAGGCAAGCTCACCTATGCCTCAATCGGTTTTTTTTAGTTATCGAAATTTTTATTCAAGTTTGCGATTTGTTTCAGTAAATAGCATATGTACTTACCTCCAATTTGACTAAAATGTTTCGTCTTTACTTCCAATCCTGTATCCCATATCTGTCATAATACATATATATATATATATATATATATATATATATATATATCATATTTGTTTATTGATCGAACATTTGTAAAAGTACGTATCTTACGATAGAAAATATAACGCGATTACGTTTCATCGGTTGAAAGGAGCAGTATTGTCCAATGAACGATGGTATAGTATAGACAGTGTGTAGAGTAAGCTTTGCGTTTTAAGTTATGACATCATCCTGCCGAGAAACAGCGGACGCGTCGCATTAAGTTTCTCGCGCGCGATACATATTCTCCTCCGTCCATTATCTTGGTGTTTTAATTCATTATCAACTTTATTTCGCGTTACCGATTTTTTATCGCTCAAAAAAAAACGTTAGACCGTGTCTTATGTATTCCGACAAAATTAGTTTTATCGAATTGAAATTTAAATCCTTGAAATGAAATCACTACTAACTTCCGGATGTAAATTCGATAATTTATCAAAAATTTGTAAGCGTCGAAGTATTCTGTTCTTAGACTTCTTAAATGATTCCAAGCCCCGATGATGAATAACATGTACTCAATTGATGTTGGCTGTTAAACAACGCTGACGAACATTAATTGACGGAGTTGGATTATTTAGCCACGGTAAATTGTGTATTAGAGTTGTATGGTGAAGGTAAATCGAGTAATTCGCAAATGAAATATTTTTCATTGTCGAGAAATGTAAAGTCTATAGAACGAAATACGCAAATAAAAACCCTTCGATGAAAAGTATACAATGGAAGCGTTGATTCGACGGAAGTAATGACTAAAGATGAAGTAAGCATATGTGGAATTAGAGGATCGCCAAGAATTGTTCAGATAACTGGTTCAGATTCACTGTTCATATCACGACCACGCAAGTTATGAATTCGGTTTTACATCGGCGGCATTTGGATGTTTCTTTCTTTTTAATAATTGTTTCTTTGTAGTACGAAAAAGAATCAATTGTTTGTTGAACGAATTTAGTAGTTTTGTTTTTCCCGAAATAAACCCGTAAAATGAGACGTGAGCGCGATATAAATAAGTGCAGTAAGAATTTCCAAAAAAAAAAAGACTGGTGCGATTTCAGTCTTTGTAGGGATTCCTGTCGCCAGTCACCCCTGCTGTCCTACGCATTCGACGCACGTTATACTTGACTGTTAGCTGCGAGTTTATTGATCGTTTTCAGACTTTTGCCGGTTTTCTGACGTTCCTCGTATTCTGCCGCTTGGCGCAATACGTTGTGTTGTGCGACAATTTGGAACTTGAAAGCATATGACGTAGATTAAGGATCGTTTATTCTCCATTATAAGATACTGACAAAATCTGAATGAAACAACTTTCTTTTCTAAAATTTATCGATGCTTGTGCTCAGGTTGCTCGAGTATTTGACCTTTCATATATGTATAAAAGAAAAACATTATCGACAAAGTGTATGAGAGAATCACGTTGAAATAAATCGAATGGTTTTACGAAAGAACAAGTAGATTAATGATGGACGAATAAAATATTTGTTATAGTCGGTATTCAGCGAAGTGAGGAGGGAGACGAATACGGATATAACGCAACGAAAAATAATATTTAATATAGAGAGTACGGAGAAAGCAATAAAAGACAGAAAAAGGGAAAAAGGGTTTCAGTAAACGTATCCACAATGGCGGACACGAACGAACAACAAACGTTGTCCGAGCCACACACGAACGGAGTAATGGACGGTTTGACGGAAGATGAGAAAAGTAAAATGAGACCTGCCGATATTGACGCGGTAAGATTCGACATAACTTAGTTCACTTAATTGTGCGAAGAGATATAACATCAATTCAATGTTCTTCAATCATTTTTGTAGGATATGAGAGAAATGGAGAGGAGGAAGAGAGTTGAGATGATGATGAACTCACGATTGTTTCGAGAGGAACTGGAACGAATAATTGAAACGCAAATGAAAGACGGTGCTGGGCCAACAGGTCTTCTACAACAAATCTCGGATATGATGGGTGCGCAAGGTGCTCGGTTCAACGGAAATGTCTTTAAAAGTAGGTTTGATTGTTTATTTTTCCTATCAATGGATTAATCAATTGAATCATCTTATAGATTCAAACTGCGTATTACCTATCAATGATATACGTGGAGTTGAAAGTATGGGTTATGCAAAGGGAGAAAAATTGTTGCGCTGCAAGTTAGCGGCAGTGTTCAGATTGCTCGATCTTTACGGTTGGACTCAGGGTGTAGGCGGACAAATTACAGCTCGATTGAACCAAGATCAGGAACACTTTTTGGTTAATCCTTATGGGTTGCTTTACCACGAAGTGACTGCTTCGAGTTTAGTTAAAATCGACATGCAAGGAACGATCGTGGAACAGGGAACTACTAACTTTGGGGTTCACGTGACAGGATTTCAATTGCACTCGACGATTCATGCTGCCAGGCCTGATATCAAGTGTATCGTTCATATTACCACTCCGTCCGTTACTGCTGTAAGTAGCAAAGTATGCCGTGTTTCTCCTTGTATTATCATTTTCTGTCAACGACTATCCCTGGGTACTTGGAAGAGAAAGGAACCTCATTTACGTTTCATTTCATACAGATTTCCTCTTTGAAGTGCGGATTATTGCCAATCGGTCAAGAGAGTATAGTAATAGGGGAGGTGAGCACACATCAGTACATAGGTGGGTCCTTTGAACCAGAGGAGAAGGAAAAGATAACCAGAAATCTTGGCCCGGTGAATAAAGTGATGCTGCTAACGAATCGTGGTGCTCTCTGTTGCGGAGAAACTGTCGAGGAAGCTTTCTTCAATGTTTACAACACGGTGTTGGCTTGCGAGACGCAACTAAAACTGATGCCCGCCGGACTCGATAATCTGAATCTTATTTCTGAAGAAACGAAGAAAGCTGTATTCGAGGCCTCGAGGAAACCGCCTACTCCGCAGCAAGCAGCTCCAATCTCCGAAAGCACAGCTTTAGCTGAAAAACTTGAAAAACGTTGGCGAATCGGTGGAACTGAGTTTGAAGCGCTCATGAGGATGCTCGATAATGCTGTAAGCATTCCAGTACTAGTATGCTTCACACACTCACCCTTTTCTCTTGGCTCTTGTAATTTCTATCAGTGATTTAAGTATTTCCTTAAGTGACGCTTATTCCTGTTGTTCAAAGGGATTCCGTACGGGTTACATATATAGAAATCCATTGGTAAAAGGAGAGCCACCACGACCTAGAAATGACGTCGAAGTACCACCAGCAGTCTCGTCTTTAGGATACCTGCTTGAAGAGGAGGAACTATATAAACAAGGGTAACTATATATCTTATATCACACGAGACTGATCAGACATACTTAATTGTCCATTTTTATTTTCCAACAGGCTGTGGAAAGGTGGTCGCAAAGGCACGGACAGGTCACGTTGGCTAAATTCACCTAATGTGTATCAGAAGGTTGAAATACTAGAGACCGGAACTCCGGACCCGAAAAAGATCACCAAGGTAGAGGTTATCACTTTTGAGAATAAGAACGAGTAAATTCAATGGCATACTTTTGTAAAGATGACCGTGTAACAGAGAATGTAAGACATAATTCGGGCAAACAGTTACACAAATGTTGAAGAAAAGATGCAAATATATCATTAAACAATGAGTACTTTGAAAACGTGTCAGTATCGATGTTTAGGAATACTTTACGTGCACGTATTCTTATATTCGTAATTTTCGAAGCAGCTATCAATCGCTACTTTAGATTAGAAGAAGAAAATTATACGTGCTCAGTTTTGTAATTATTACTTATTTCGTCGTTAGTTAGTAAGCAATAAGAACGAGAATGGTGAATGGTCAATACTATTCCTTGATTTCTTGGCTTTTTAATTAACGCGTATTATTCGATATCAAACGATAAATATTTGTTTTTCTTTCTTTTTGCAAACAACTTTTCAATTCGCTTTGCGTATTTTAATATTTACTGGTTAACTATTGTATCGTCGATTTGATTGTTATTCGTGAAACGTGCGGTAAGATCATCATATTATAGTACATTCCAGTTTATGGTAATTCAATAGACAAGAAATTGCGAATATACAGTCCACAGAAAAATAGTGTGTGAGTGTGTGAGTGAGTGAGTGAGTGTGTGAATGTGTGAATGAATGAGTGAGTTAGAGTTTAACAGGAAATTGGTTTATGAAATGAAATTCAAAGTGACTCGCATCGAACGGTTTGCGATTAATCTAAAATATGATTCTGCTATAACAAGCCGTAGGTATTTATCGTTTGGTCCATGTTAACCCTTATCCGCGAAGTCTATTTATGTAACGTAGACACGGGCAGTCTGAATGCACCTTGACCGGATAAGGGTTAAAGTTATTGTCACCGTTGATAGCTTTTATTCGACTTCTCTCTTGTAGCTCCTTCATATTTAAATAAATATATGTCTACTGTTTATCGTGTACAGGTAATTTCTTAAACAGGAAATGGGACCTATTGCCCTGTAACAGTGTGATAACATGTTTCGTTAAAGGAAACGAAAAAATGCATGTGGGAATGATGAAGGAAATGAAATTTGAGATTGGATCGAATTCATTTTCTTGAGCAACGAACTCGTAATTTCTTTGATCCTACGTTGCCACGATTTTATCTCTAGAAGGTTGACTTTGCGATGTACAGTGTTGAGATATGGAGATCGATCGTACGAGCGATTCGTATTCAGAACTATGTATGAATGTGTGCCTGCTATTAGTCGTGTCGTCAAAGCAGCGAATATTCGATTCTTCGTCCCACTGCATTTACAAAACCAGATCGATCGACCCTATAAACACACAGAGACAAAGAAAACAAAGTTCGCGGTCGATAGAAAGAAACATTAGAAATTACTGTTGGCACAACTTGCCCGAAAGATTTGAAATTTCGGAATTCGGTGGACGAAAGATTGTCAAAGTTGCAGCATCTTGTTGGTAGTACGGATAAAGATGATGGGCAACGCGGATATGTCACCGGCAGAGCAGGCACACATAGCATACGCAGACAATACGAGAAATATTGTTGCAAACTTTGATGATACTGTACCGTATGTTGAATTATCGGTGGGGGTCGACTAACGTTCTGGTTTTGTGTGCAGTGGGTGTCAGACGGCTCTCCGACCCATAGCAGTACACCGGTGAAGATCGATGGTGCTCTTCAATTTGTACCGAAAAATACCAATCCAAAGGAATTCAAACAATTACAACAACAGGTAAGTACCGATTACGTAAGTATTTATAAATCCGGCGATTCTATTTTCCAAGGAACATCCAACGCGTGCAAAGCATACAGTATCGCGTTAGTAGTTTTTTAAGTACTGTGTTTTTTTACGTATACATATGTGTATATCTTTCCTTGTTCAGATCAAAGATTATCGACGGGCAGACAAGATATCGGCTGGGCCACAGTCACACATATTGGAAGGTGTTACGTGGGAAGAAGCGAAAAAAATGCAGGTAATGTGTTATTGGTGGTTTGTGTATTTCGGTGTTCAATTCCTCTTCCTTCTCTTCTCGTATGAAAATGTGACGCATGTTTTGTCTCCGCTAAAACAAATTAACCATCAATTATAAAATATTCATTTGAATATGTGTACGGAAGGATGCCACCATCAGCGGAACGGGGGAGCAAGTAGTTTTGGTAGGTGCAGCCAGTAAAGGTATCATTCAACGAGGCTTTCAGCACAACGCAATGGTTTATAAGACACCGTATGCCAAAAATCCATTTGACGCCGTTACCGACCAAGAACTCGATCAGTATAAAAAGGAAGTCGAACGCAAACAGAAAGGAGACCCATGTAAGTGGAAACTTGAGTATATTTATAATACAATATACATACATATGTACATCTAATGGATCGTTTACAATATTTCTCCCGATTCAAGACGACGAATCCCAGTCAGAATCGGAGGCATTGTCTTCGTTCAACGTTAGCCGCGCAACGCACGAATCGAGTACTGCCAAAAGTCCGATTCAATCACCGGTTTCGGTAACTTCGGAAACAGAAGAAGAAAGTAGAGACGGTAAATAACAATTCTTCAAATGTATACGTAATTAATTTGTAGGTGTTTGTTGCTCAAGAATTTGGCTGACTAACGCATCGATATTAAATCGTCTGTAGAACCCCGAGTACTGCGAATAGAAACGAAACAAGTGCCTGCACCGAGTCAGCCAGAGGTTGTCCTAAGCGACGGTAAGCGAGTCAAGCAACATTATTTGACGTGTCGATCTGAAAACGCGCGCCATGCTCTTAAGAATTGCACTCATGAGGGCACGTGGCATTGGTCTTATGGTTTAAGCAATTGTTCATTCTCTCAATGGTTTAAGCAATTGTTCATTCTCTCAATGGTACGTGAAATGCACGTTGAACGTGAATCACATGGAAAACTTTGATTTGCAGTATCTTTCTTTTCTTTCCTTTCTCTTTCTCTTTCTCTTTCTCTTTCTCTTTGTTTTTCTCTTTCTTTTTCACTCTTTATATTAACTTCCTATCGGTCATTCTCAAGATGTTTGTATGAATCTTATTGGTTGCATTAGATTTGAAACAATTGAACAAGAAGAACAAGGCTTATACCACAAGCATGATGACAACAACATTTTTAACACATCACAACGTCTGTTCCTTCTTACTTTGTTCTTTATTGCCATACATTTCTTTTTTTTTTTTACTTTCTATTTATGATCACTAACGCTTGCACTGTGCATGCCCGAAAAGTTCACGTATCCGCATGTCCGCGCGTGTTTGTTAAGAGACTTGTGGGTTTCATTGTATCAACTTCTGGTTTGAAAGTCCTGCAACGCACGTTTAACACTTCGTATCGCATCACGCTTTTATTTATCAATTACGAATCGTCGTGCCGTCCAAATAAATACATTTAAAGAGTATAATAAATAGAATAGTAAACGTTTAAAGAGTGAAAACTTTCAGCGATTGAGTCTGTGCTCTGTGCGTGTGTGGTGTGCTTGCACGCAAGCAAGCAAGAACAACAACGGTAACAACACCATCAAAACAACAACACCGTGTGCTGTTCATCGAGACACGTTACGTTTCACTTACAAGTTAGATTCCTCGCGAATGCGACGAGTTTCAGACACACAGGTGTGAGCAATCGTGATCATAAGAAATATCTTCTGTCTCCACGAGAAGGAAGGTAGACGTTAAGGGGTTAAACGTTAATAAAGTACAGTAGTGGTGTTTTTTTTTTTTTTTTGGATAATGTGGTTGCAGATCGTGACTCGTCGAGCAGATACTGCAGCGATAGCGAAACTGATCAAGAGATTGAAAGCAAATTCTACATCGGCAGTAAGGAATGGGACTACCGAATTTTTATCCCTCCCTGGCATGAACCACGTTTAGAAGTAGCTCGAAGCAGCGTTATCGCGGAACGAATGACGCCTAAATTAATATCGTACTCTTCAGCAATTCGAACCACCGTTGACACACTAGTCGACATCGAGTACAATTATTGCAAAAACAATTCGAGTTTGACTAGTCGCGAAGAGAAGAGAACACCGCCAGCAGCAACAGCACCGTTGAATGCGAGCACAAGAAGAGTTCACTCAGGGGTGAAAGCTAAGAGAAATTCGTCGTTGGAATCTGAACGGGAGGAGATTATTGATTTGCCATCTGGATCTGATGAAAAAATAGTAGAAGATGATGGAGGAAAAATGGGAAATTTCACGTCAATTCACCAAAATACTAAGAAACGCATCATAGAACTCGGAAACTACGGTGGTATCGATTCAGTGGCCGTGCCTTCAACAAGAAGAAAATTGAACGCCTTGTCTTGTTCCGATTTCAAAATCTCGACCAAGTACACTTTGGATACTGACGATATGATGTTATTGTATAGATTAACACCATTGGTAGACTCGGAATGTCCTGACAACAAGAAAGACGAGACAACGTTTCGAGCGTCGCAGTCATCTCTGCTTTCATGCTGCGAACGCAATAGTGATTGTCCGGATAGTTGTTATCGGCCAAACGAGGAAAAATCTTTCGAGTCTAAACAGTTCGAATGCAAGAACACGAAGGAATGTGTGCTTGGGGAAACGTACGATTGTATCTGGTTTGACGATAATGAACGGTACGAACTTTGCGAAGGCGAATGCAGTTTTGAACTTGCAAATAACCTTGTATCAAACAGCAATCCTTCCGAAGAAATCCATTTGAATGAGAAATCCGACACGTTGGAGCTGCCTGTTACCACTGTCACAGAATTATTTGAAGCGAACGGTGACTTATTTCGAAATGATATCAGTGATAGTGCGAACGAAATCATTGCCGAGCTTGACGCCAACGACACTTACGCGAGTATTTTTTGTCTCGTGGCCGAAATTTTTGAGAGAGCTTGTACGCTTTGTAGTATGCAGTTAACCGAACCATGTAACGCGTTACGTGTTTCTTCGTTCTCGTCCACGTCCTCACTCTCCTGTCCACTCTCGTCCTCGACACTAATGTCGATTTTAAAAGATAATTGCGATACCATGGAGGCGACGGATAACGGAACGCGCCAGAAAAGCCTGTTGACCGAGGACTCGAACGACAATGTTGTACCGGTCGTTGTTGTTGTACGTGAAATCGTCCACCATGTAATCGATGTGCACGATGAATTTGATGAATGGAAATGGTCGAACGGTCTAACTGAGATGACGGAGTTCGATTGTTCTTTTAAGAGAGCCAAGAACACTGCTAACGTAGAGCTAAAAGAAGCTCGACATATATCAAGTACCGTCGGAGGAAAGACCGAATTTATTGAAATTGTCGAACGTACGAATAATAACGACGATGTTTCAGTAACCGCCGCCGCCGTCGCTGCTGCTTCGTCCGTTGGTTCAATCGAAGTCTGCGAAGAAAGCAGCAACGAATCAAGCATTACGAGAGATGATCCGGCTGTCACGACAGAATCTGAAGCTGTTTTTGAATTTCGTACAATAGCGACCAGAAAGTTGACGGAGGCCAACGACAAAGCGTTCGAATTGAATTTTCGAGTCGAGACACATTGCGACTGTAGTATTGTTACCGACCATAAAGAAGCGGAACAAATCTTGGATCAAGACAACGAAATTCACGGTGAACAAAGTCATGTACAACGTGACACTTGTACCCATACTGAGCGCAGCTTGCTCGCATTATTATGCGAAAATCCGTCTTTGTCGAGTTTGACGAGGACAAATTGTGCAGAGCGACAAGCCAGGTCTCCGAACTCGTCCGAGAGCGACGATAAAGTAACCGAGCCGTTGAAATTGGCAGAACTCGAAGATCACGCGGATAATGATACTTCCTCCAAGTGCTGCATTTATTCCGCTAAACATTCTTGCACATGCAACCACGATCAAGAGTGTCCTCCTTTGTCACCTATAAACGAAGAAATCGAGGATGCGATCCCGAAATTAAAGGGAGCGATCAGGCGAACGTCGTTGCTGAGTCACTAGTAGTTTTAACACCGGCCAATTAATCAAACGGACGCGTTCGCGTAAAAGTCACACAGAGTAGCGGCCCAGCCACATATTAACCAATATATGTACTAGAAATTCTCGACATTCGTCAACCAATAGATTGCAAGACATCCTTTCCTCAATTAAGATGTTTGTTTATTTCTACTTTCAGTTTGGGAACTTACACGTACGGGCCGGCGGGAGTATGCTTTTATAATTCAATCGCTTAGCGGCAAAAAACCGCGCATTCTTATTCGTAACAAAAAAGTTTGTTTTCCGTTTTTCTTTCGTTTTCTTTGTTTTTTATTTTTTCATATTTCGTGCCTGTTTTGTATCTCGAGCGTACAAATATCCCGTGCACCGATCGAAATAAAGTTTCTCGTAAAAAAAATTCAAGGAAAAGAATGTTGGGACTGAACGCGAGTTCAGCAATCATTCGATATGTACCTATCTCCGTCAGATTTATAATGCTGCTTGTAATAAATTTCAATTTTTCACAAACTAAGCTTTTCAGAAAAAATTTGTTCTCTTTCCAAAGTGTCAAATCGTTTGGACTACATAGTGTATGTAAATAACCGGGATCGCGGATAGATTTCCACGTCTGAGGTAAGCATACATTTTGGTATCGGCGATTCGTTACACTTTGCACGTACAAGCTTTCCCTTTCATCTTTTTTTTTTCTTTTTTTTCTTTTTGGCAACGCGAAATCGTTGAGAAGTTTGCTTAGAGTGGAGCTTGTGCCTTGTGCAGTTGTTACAAGTGAATGTTTTACAGTTACAGTACAATATAATGCTTTGTGCTTTATGTTACAGGAGAAAATACCGTGAACGGGGATCATTCGGATGCACATCACAGTACATTTTCACAAAGTAGCAAAGAGGTTTGTTGCTCGTACACTTGTACATCTACGTATTATACATATATGTATGTATATATACTGTTCTCGAGCTTTATTCAAAACTCCTGGTCACGCAATATTCTTTGCTTGGTCGCAAAAATAGTTTAATGTCTTGTTCCGTTCAAGTTCGATAATATCCATGGGAAAGCTCGAGGACATTTATAAAATGTCTGTGAAGAATGAGATAATGATACACTGTGTCGTAATCGGTAATTGATGTATACATACCATATGTATGTATATCTCGAAAGGATTTCATTTCGTATAAACGGCGTTCCTTTGCACTAACAATCTTTCATATTTCATGGTTCCATTTTTCATCGTTAAATAAGTATTTTTTTTTTTTTTTTTTTTTTTTTAACCATTCACTGTTGCAAACTGCCTACCAAGGAGCTAGTTCGCCAATAGTGTTCGCTTGCATGAATCCAAGGAGGGTCGTTATGTTTTCCAAATACAACGTGTCATATTTATGCGAAACGGTAAAGCTTGAGAGAAAGGTGAGAGTAGAGATCATGATTGATGATGGATACATAAGGTACTGAATGAGAATTAACAGAAGGGGAAAGGGTGTAGTTTAGAGTATGTGATTAGGGGGTGGGGCCGTGCGTGTCCCCGTGGAGAAGAAAGAGCGAGAGTGAGAAAGACAGAAAGCATGTAGCTATGTATGTATATTAGGAAAAATTGGCTGTTTGCATGTGCATGCAAAAAGGTTTATGGTTACGGTTGGGACCTTCCGTGTTAAGGGTTCCGTGTCGCAGGATGTGAGCGTTAGCGAGGAATCGCCAAAGAAGGAGAAGAAGAAGAAGAAAGGCCTTAGGACTCCGTCATTCCTAAAGAAGAAGAAAGAAAAAAAGAAGCCAATCGAGGCGTAGGTAGTCTTAATTTTGGTACGTATATACATTCGTAAATGACAAGATTGAAAACCCATGTTCTTATCCACGAGTGGATCGATCGATCGGTCTTGTCTTGTCTCTACCATATTCCTCTAACGGAATCCAAAGAATCGTCAGATGTGTCGATAGCTCTATGAAATACTCGTATTCGAAAACTTACCGATTTATCGTGTCGTCTCGTGAACGGGAACAAAGATTTATGGATGCAACGATTCCTCGATACGAAGATGTAAAGACGGGTCGCGCGTTATTTGGATACCGTTGACTCGCCGCGTGGTATACCCTTAAAATTCCATTACGTATTTTGGAATTACTGAGAAGAGACATGCAAAGAAAGAAAAAAAGGTAGGCAGGAGGTCGTTTCTACGTCTGTGCATTTTTTTATCTTAGCGTAGATGAGCTGACGCTATTGTAATTCGCATAGACGCAGTAAACGTAGAATTCGTTTTTCTTAGCCGCCGCCAGTTAGAGAGTTTGACATTGTTGCTGCAATAATGTGGACAGTACATACTGTTAATATTAGCATTGACGGGTGTCGTGCGTGTCGCACAAAACAACTCATTTCTTAACAGTCGTTTTGAGAATTGTTCTTCGTTCGAGACGCATCGTGCGAAATTATTAATACGGAAATTCCCAACTTTCAGCTAATACGGATAATGTATCGTCCATTAATGATAACCTGTATTAATCGTTCCGTTTTACTTTGCATTTTACAGACACTGCCACGAACAAAAGCTTATTGCAAATGAATGAAGAAATAAATAAATAAATAAATAATTGAACGAATAAAAAAGGAGTGGTACAGAAGAAATGATTACAACGCGAGACAGAAGAGTCGAAGATCGCAATACGAGATCGCAAGAGAGCGTATCTAGAAGACGAATGAAAATAGGAAATAGGAAATAGGAAATAGAGAATAGGAAATAGAAGATCGGGAATCGAATTAATCGTGCAACAATCACAGCATCTTTCCAGGACTCAAGACTGCCATCGCATTACGTCTATGATAAGGAACTATATTGTACTGTTAATGTTTTTACGTTTTTAATTCGTTAAGGCGTCGCGCTGATGTATTTAATCCGCTATTTAATTTCGCCTTCCCAGCCCCCGTTTGTGTAATGCAATAAAAAACAATTATGTACATCTAAAATTCACGGACCAACCAAAAACAAGTACACATATATTTGTTGTTGTTGTGGTTGTTGTTGTTGGTTGGTTTGATGTATGTATATGTAGTTATTCTTTTTTATCGTTACTCTTGGTATTATCAGTGGAACACCATGCTAAACCTATATACGTTTATTTTTTGGAGCGAAGTAAATGATATCGGTATGTAAGTACATGTGTAGGTGATGTAGGTACTACGTCGTGTATCCCGTTTTACGACGAAAATGTTTCTAAGATTTCGATTTTCTGTTCTTGATTCTCATTAGTTCGTCGGCAATTTCAAGCTATAGAATACTCGGATAAAATGCATTCGCACTGGCAACGATGCTGTTTAATCGCCGCGTTGGCTTTTTCAAGTACATCTATATACGTACGTACACACATGTAGGTACTCTAGTCAAATATACTGACACAATTGATTTCTTTTCAGATTTTATTGCCGTGCCATTACTGATAGTTTAATGGAACAGAAAATGAGAGGTGAGTGAAAGGGGGGGAAGAAAGCAAACGTCGTTTCGGCGGTTTCGCGGAACAAAGGAAGAAGAAAACGAACGTAAAATGATGAGAGAAGTGGTGGGTGTATTAATATTCATCGGTAGCATATACGTCGACATCAACATCGGTCGAATCCAGTCCAACTTCTTCATAGTCCTTCTCGAGCGCTGCCAGATCTTCGCGAGCTTCGGAAAACTCGCCCTCTTCCATTCCCTCGCCAACGTACCAGTGAACGAAAGCCCTCTTTGCATACATGAGGTCGAACTTGTGATCGAGCCGTGCCCACGCTTCCGCGATGGCCGTCGTGTTGGACAACATGCAGACAGCTCGCTGCACCTTAGCTAGATCACCGCCAGGCACGACTGTGGGTGGTTGATAATTTATACCAACTTTGAATCCAGTTGGACACCAATCGACAAACTGTATCGTTCGTTTCGTCTTTATGGTCGCGATCGCGGCGTTTACGTCTTTTGGGACAACGTCTCCTCTGTAGAGCATACAGCATGCCATGTATTTCCCGTGCCGGGGATCGCATTTGACCATCTGATTCGCCGGCTCGAAGCACGCGCTTGTAATTTCGGCGACCGAAAGTTGCTCGTGGTAGGCTTTCTCGGCTGATATTACTGGCGCGTAGGTGACCAGAGGGAAATGAATTCTCGGATAAGGAACCAAATTTGTTTGAAATTCAGTTAAATCGACGTTCAAGGCGCCGTCGAATCGCAGTGAAGCTGTTATCGATGAAACAATCTGCCCTATCAGTCTGTTTAAGTTGGTGTAGGATGGTCTCTCGATGTCGAGATTGCGTCGGCAGATGTCGTATATCGCTTCGTTATCGACCATGAAAGCGCAATCCGAATGCTCGAGGGTCGTATGAGTGGTGAGAATTGAATTGTAAGGTTCGACAACAGCCGTGGAAACCCTTGGCGCTGGGTAAATTGCAAATTCTAATTTCGACTTTTTCCCATAGTCGACAGAAAGACGTTCCATCAGCAGAGAAGCGAATCCTGAGCCGGTACCACCTCCGAACGAATGAAAGATCAAAAATCCTTGTAGTCCGGTGCACTGATCTGCTAGCTTTCGTGCACGATCGATCACCAAGTCCACGATTTCTTTGCCAATCGTGTAGTGGCCACGAGCGTAATTGTTTGCCGCATCTTCCTTTCCGGTGATTAATTGCTCCGGATGAAATAGTTGTCGATATGTTCCCGTTCGTACTTCATCTGCGAACAGAACCAAACAATCGACCGACGAATGAGTTTCATCATAATATTATGTAGTACCATTCGACGAATCGGCTACTTTATTTCTTTTTCCTCCCTTACCAACAACCGTAGGTTCTAAATCGACGAATACCGCCCTGGGTACATGCTTCCCGGCACTGGTTTCGCTGAAAAAAGTACTGAAACTGTCGTCTCCAACCATTTTGTCCGTCGGCATCTGCCCATTCGGTTGTATCCCATGTTCCAGACAATACAGTTCCCAACAAGCGTTTCCAATTTGCACGCCAGCTTGGCCGACATGGATTGATATACACTCACGCTGAAACAATGCAATATTCCTTTTCGTAAACTGTATCCTGTTCTTTTCATTCAGGCGAACTACATACTTTGTCGTTTCTGCGAACTAATGGATCAAACGATAAACATGGAAGAATAGAGGAAGCTTGTTCCGATACCGAACACTCTGTTTAATTTAAAATTGAACTCGTTTGAATTCCATGAATTTGCTTTTATTCAGATCACGTTTTGCACGGTTTCTGTCACCGTGATTTCGCAAATCGACACCATTAACAGAAAGAAATTTTCTTACCATTTCGCAAACGTAAGACCAGCAGAACCAACTTATTTATGCGTTGCCGCTTTGTATAGCGTCCAGCAGCGTATGTATGTATCAAAGAAATGTACGACCTCCGTTACTGCACAACGAGTTTATTATTGTAGAAAAACATGACACCGTTTCTCTGAACGATTGCCACTTAATGACGCGAGTACGGTCGTCGGCCTCTTATATCCTCGGCTTCGCGTCGTCTCAGAATTATCACGGAAGGATTGCTAGCGAACATCTAGTTAAGAATTATGCCGTTCCCGCGGTCTTTGTCATAGTCGGATTCTTTTGGACTTGAATGCCGTGCTTGGCCTGTTATACGTATGTATCTTCTATCTTTGGATTGTTCGAACGGTTACGATTACATACACTTCGAAACATATAATCGACGCGGAAGATAGCCTGGAAGAAACATTATTTCGATGAGTTCGTTTTTAAACAGTTCTATCGCATTCAGTGGATTTGCATTTAATAAATAGATATAAATAGCGTGTTAGCCACGTAATTTCGAACAGCCTTAACCAGCCAAACTGAGCAGAGCCAGTCCTACAAAACGATCACGATGCAAATTCCTTTGTTCTATTTCTATCCAAATGCATACATATATCATCATGCATACATACATACATACATACATACATACATACATACATACATACATACATACACACGCACGCACGCACACACATACATACATCATATCATACATACATACATACATACATACATACATACACACGCACGCACGCACGCACACACATACATACATCATATATATATATATACACCTTGTTCTTCGATCCACGGTGACCCAGCCGTTCCATGATCCATATTTATGTCGACTGCATGATACAATATTGTAATCTTCTAAAGAAATATCGTGTACCTAAGTATAGTCGTTAATTGCTGTGTTGTTCGTTAAAAGTTGATGATGTTCAATCAATACAATATATACATATATACAAATGTACATACGTATATACAGAAAAACGAGTAGCACAGAGTGGCAGCAGAGCATGCGCCATACAATATGATACAATACGGAGGATAGTTCCTGATAATTCCCATAGACATATATGTATAATACGCGGTATGTATAGTACTGCGCGGTCTTATGGTAGCAATGAAGTCGAGATCGAAGGACAGAAGTTGCGCTGGGGTAGGCTCCTCTCTTACTCACATGTGTGCATGCCATGCCTTGACTAAAGCCTAGGAGAATCCTCTAACAACAGCCCCATTAGAAAGAGAGGAAACTTACTGCAGTTATTGTCCTCTGTTTCTAGTGCCAATTTGATTCGTACCATAAGACTGATACAGATAGGGATGAATCGATATAAGTAAATACAAGTACATTATCGATACTTTTGTTTCGATACCGAGCACTTTTAGTATCGATACCTACGGTTGCGATACCAAGTAGGTATCGATACTTACTCGGTATTGAAACAAAAGTATCGATACTTTCATACAAAAGTAGTAATGAATGAAAGTATCGATACCTTGGTGATATCGATTCAACCCTACATACAGACCGCGCAGTCTATTATATGGATATGCTATGGTCACACATTACGGACAGCTGTCGTCTTCACCAAGCACAAGATTTCAAGTTCAAAAAACGTAGATTACTCAACTTTATTGCTTGAAAAACAGTAGTCAGAAGAACATTGTTAAAATCATACATAAATGTTTGCAACTGTTGTCGTTGGGTACGTCCTGTCAAGCACTCCTCATTTATTTCATATTTGGACAGGTCTCTCAGTGTTATACGATCAGCATTCGTCTTGACGAAGCACTCGACTTGTTGCTGAAAGAACGTAGATTAATCTCCTGTCCTTGGCAATCACAATAAATGACCAGAACACTGTTAAAATCGCATTTAATCGCGGATTACCATTATTTTTTCGACCGGTGACGCCACCCGTGGAAATTCACGCAAACTGCTAAATCATACCGATAGGTGAGTGAAAATTCCTAATGATAGAAAAATGCGAATATCTCAGTAATTAGGCGCTTAAAATGAACGCAATTAGTTTCAAATTACTCCTGGTGATTCCGTGCATCGACCCAATACCTCAGTAGCACATAGTCGGAAGAATTATTTCTACCAACACTACAAATTGCTCATATGTAGCAACACTGGTAGAAATAATTTGTTTAATAATGGGGTTCTGCTGCATTCGGTTGATGCATTGAATCGTGGGGAATAACTTAAGACTAGTAACCTTAACTTTGACCTCATAAATTACTGCGATATTCGCATTTTTCCATTACTAGAAATTTTTACTCACCTGTCGGTATAATTTAGCTAGCAGTTTGAGCGAATTGCCACGGGTGGCGCCACCGGTCAAAAAAATAGTTGTATTCCGCAATTAAATGCAATTTTAACAGTGTTCTGGTCGTTTATTGTTATTGCCACTGACAGGGGATTAATTTACGTTCTTTAAGCTACACGTCGAGTGCTTGGTCAAGACTAATGTTGTCCATATAACGCCGTGAGACCTGTCCAAATAAGAACACACCCGCGTGTTAACTCGGCTTTAGTATACGTATCAACTGCTGATTCCTGGTTGTTTTTTGAAGTGGGGTGAACAGGTGAATGAACAACAACGGGAAAAACAGTTTTGAGTGTCGAGTAGTGTCGGGTGTACTTATTTACTTGTACTATTTGTTTTTTTGCAAAAAGATCCTTTCATTCTCGAGGCTCAAATACCTAAATACTTGATTCTTTTCGATTTATAAACTTCTGGTGTAAAGTCATTGCATGCACTTATTTATTACTGTCTGCTCTAGTGTGACATAAAAAATAAACATGAACGTGCGAGACACCATAGAAGAATTAACTCAAACTTGTATAGAAGTTCGTCGCAGTTTGGAATCCTCTATTAACAAGGAGGAACAAGAGGCACTGATATTAGAACACATTAAAACATTTACGGAAAAAGGATTTCGTATCACTGACTTTCAAAGAGGTTATTAAACAGTTTTAATCTTCGAATTTATATAGGAAGTAGAGAAAATAAATTAATTGTACGACTTTAAGTGCATATGTATGAGCATGTATACACATTCCAAAGAAGCGTCATTATAATTGAATCGTAAAGATGGTTTCTAGGGTATCACGAGCGAATATATATACTTATCCCGTATGTATTTTGAAATAAATTCATCGATGTCTATCGTAAAAATAGTCTGAGTGTTTAAAACATCTTAAATGATAGTTCTGTAAATGTTACCATGAAATTTACGCCAGTATATGTCGAGGTTAATTAATTTAATGCATAAAACCATAGGCGAATAATGTGTGTCGGGATTACTGGTAGATGTTAACGATTTTCCTTGGTTTTCGTTAGGTGAAAAATATCGGGTCTGATTGTATGTATACATGTCGCGCAACGAAGACTCTAATGAATCTGACATACGTCTATCAAAAGACAGTGGAGGGTCAAGTGTAATAAATTCGAATCGACCATTGTATGTGTTCGACGAAAAAAGTGTTCTTCTTACGGAGGAAGAAGTACACGAGTATCGCGAACTGGTAGTACTCGAAAATGTACTCGATCAAGAATTAGCCGATTTAAGGATCCAAGAAAAAGCATTCCGTTCTACCGAAGAAACGATGAATTTATTACACAAATACAATGACATCAAAGATGCTACTCAGGCACTTATGGGTGCAATAGCTGTAGCAAATGGAACTACAGTTAGGAGTTTGTACCAACGTTATGGCTTAAGCTTAACCATGGAAGAAGAGTGAATGTATATTATTGTCCCATTGTTTTCTTTGTTTCCTTTATTTCCTTTTCGTCCCTTTTCTTCCTTTTTTCCATATTCAACATTCCTTCTTCTTATCATTGCCTGTGTCATTTCATTCCATCATTTTTGTAAAATACAACTACAGAAGATAATAAATAAATATTCAAAAGATTTCCTTCTTTCAAAATATATTAGGGCTAGAGTGGTTCAACGTTGCAGAAGCATTGTGTGTATATAAGCATCTGGCTGGAAAGATTATTGTTTTGGATTTCTTTACTTATTGTTGCATTAATTGTATGCACGTACTACCAGATTTATATCTTCTTGAGGAACAATTTTCAATCACGGATGGTCTTGTTGTTGTTAGTACATATAAATTTACTATTTTAATATATCCAAGTGACCCTTATTCATAATGCGCACCACAAATGTTTATTTTCAGGTTGGAGTACACAGTGCAAAATTTTCCAATGAACGTGTTTCAAAGAGACTCTTAGCAGCAGTACAGAGGTATAATATAAGGCATCCAGTTGTGAACGATACATCTCTGTCTACATGGCGTGATTTAGGAATTTCCTGTTGGCCAACACTAGTAATGATAGGTCAGAGGAATAATATGCTTATGTGTACATATTACAATGCAAGCATATTTACATAATGATTAGATAAATGTCTTTTCGTGTTTTTGTAGGTCCCGGAGGTGAACCATTAGCAGTTTTTGTAGGCGAAGGTCACAAAGAAGAATTGATCCTATACTCGAGGGTGGCGTTAAAATACTTTAAAACATTAGATCAAATATCTAACAATGATCTTCCTCTGCAGCTAGCAAAGCATTTATTGCCTTCCATAGGAAAGAAAACTCTTCTGTTTCCCAGTAAGATAGAAGTTTTTCCAACCGAACAAGGAGAAAGTTTGGTCATAGCCGATACTGGCAATAATAGAATCTTAGTCACAAATGTGACAGGAAGCGTGGAACATGTCATTGGTGGGCTTAATCCGGGCTTTTTCGATGGTAACTTCGAAAACGCTAAATTTAATGCTCCTCAGGGTGTGTGTGTGTTAGGTGCTACAATTTACGTTGCTGATAACGAGAATCATGCGATTAGAAAGGTAGAGAGCTGAAACATGAACCTTTGTTGATACGTACCGTTTGATCGTGAATGCGACAAAGTAATATATGTAATACTGTTTTTAGATAGATTTGGCAAAGAAGTTGGTAACTACAGTCGCTGGTACCGGTTGTCAAGGGCACGATTACATTGGAGGTAAACTTGGTACCAATCAAGTTTTGTCGTCTCCATGGGATGTATCTATTTATAGACATGAGTACGGCGAGAAATCTGTACCTGTATTATTGATCGCGATTGCGGGAACACATCAGATTTGGGCGCTTTTCTTGGAAGACTGTATTTGGTGGAAAAATAGGTAACGTTAACCGATTCTGCGTGGTATTGATTTTCTGTCGTTTTATCGTTGATGCCGGTGAAATATTCTTTCGCTGAATCATTGAAGGGAGTACAAAGCCGGTACGTGTATTGCAATCATTGGAAGCGGTAGGGAAGAAAATCGGAATAATACGTATCCTCATGCCGCTGGTTTAGCGCAACCATCTGGATTGATTGTCGTTCAGGAGAGTAAGATTGCTTTCTTCGCTGATAGCGAAAGCAGCGCTATTAGATCCGTAGATCTAAAGAATGGTGGACGAGTTTCTGCCGTTTGTGGGGCGAATAGAAACCCTGCGGTTAGTTTAAACATGAAATACAAATGGTATTAAAATTCGAGAATTAATCGAAAATTCATTGATTGAAGTGACCGGTAACCAAACAACGATATATATCAATTTGCTTCGTCACGAAACGTCTCCATATCGCAGGATCTACATGATTTCGGGGATACGGATGGCGCTCAATATGCAGTTAAGCTTCAACACCCTTTGGGCATAACGTGGCATCCGAAAGAAAATGTCATTTATGTAACCGATACGTACAATCATAAAATTAAAAGAATCGATGCAAGCACAGGCTGCTGTAAAACAATTTACGGTGATGGGAAACCGAATGACGCATTTTCCGTACGTTACTTGTAAAAAGTTTTTGTCGCTTTCGTTCTCGGTTGAATTGTTAATCGTAAATTTTATCTTTCCTATAGTTCGATGAACCCAGCGGTATCGCCGTCAGTTCGAACGGAGATCTTTTATATGTGGCGGATACCAACAATCATGTCGTGAAAGTTATCGACATAAAGAGCAATAATGTTACCACGGTAAACTATCATATTTCGGACACGAGTGGAAAACTAACTTTAAATACGTATTTCTTTTTTCTTTTTATTTATTGTGTTTTTGTTCCAGTTATCTGTAAACATTCCCATAATGAAAACAGACACACCGGGGAATGTTTATTTCTTTGATACGGCCATAAGTGACAAGGGTGGCGTGTTAAGCGTTACGTTCCACATGAGTTTCCGCGATAGCGATTTAAAGTTGAACGCGGATGCACCCCAAAAGTGGACTGTGACCTTGCCAGTGACTACATGGGTGGCCAAAGCAAGAACCGGCGATCTTACGAGTCCAGTGTCCATACAAATTACTGAAGGAAGTGGAACGCACGAGGTATACGTGACTATGGGCATTATAGCTTGTAAAACTACCGAATGTGTACCGAAGAAACTATCAATAGTGTATCGAGTACATCAACAAACGGGAGCTTCCAATACTGTAACGGAACAAAGACAGGTTGTCATTAAATAATATACGTTTCCGAATTTTATTATTTCGTCGTAATACAGTTTTAAGTTTATTTACAAATTGACTACGCATAATCATTGTAGAAAGAAAAATTCATCAACTATTTAACAGGGAATAATATAGTTAACAATTTTCGATTCGATTTTGATTTTGGGTAAATTTACGCCTTTTTCTCTTTAGCGATACTTATTTAAAATTAGATGTTTTGGCGACACACCGGCCGTTGCATTCACCTCTTCGAATACGATTTGGTTGAAAAATAATCAATCTAGAAGAGTGAGAGAGAGAGAGAGAGAGAGAGAGAGAAAGAATAAAGAAATGGGACGGTAGAATTTAATTCAATAACATGCTATTGAAATGTTTTATACCTTTTCCACCAAGATTCCGAGGAAGCATTCGAAAATGGTAGCAATTCGAGAGAGAAAACAGTTGCATCACCTTTTCGGGAAAACCAATTTTCGTAAAGAATTTCACGATGTCCGGTCGGTTCGGTCCATGCCTTTTGGCAGTGATTTTGTATCCATTGCACCATTTTCGCAGTTGGTATTTCCACCACCTTTAGGATTCCCCACGTTTTCTATAGTCTATAGCTTTTTACAATACGATGTTTGTTGTGTTTTTCGCGTACCTTATTTGGATCTCGATAAGATGCGATACAATATGTGTACGGATTAAAGATTCCAATACCCGCATCGTAACAGAAGGGAGGAATCAATGTTTCTGTTTTCTTATTGTTGCGCAATGTTGCTCCAGCAGGTCTTAAGCCATATTTTAAGCACCAGTCGTATCTATGCGAAATACGATTGATTCGAAATAAGCTGAATCAAAGGGAGGAATACCTAGACTCGATCAATCAAACGAGAAATTATAAGGCCAAGAACAATTCAGTCAAGTATCGTTCTCGATCAAATACGTATACATAAGTATGTCTCCAAACATACGTATTTTACGAACCGTCTGTCGGGAAAGTTGCAGTATTCCCAACCATTTTCGAGGAAAATCAAACCATCCTCGAAAATGTATCGTTTATCTTTGCATTCTCCTTCGGACCAGATACCGTCCATTCTTTGTCCACGGGGCCAACGAACGCTACCGTAACCGTGAAATGTGTCATCGCGGAATTCTCCATCAAATTTAGCACCTATTTGGGATAAAGAAAATAAAAATTGAAGTATACATTTTTGTCTAAAAATCAGATCTAGGGAAGGATAGATGACATGCTTTTGTTACGTTTATTCGTTTTTTTTTCTTTGAGACCGGTATTCTCGAATTAGCTTGGTAAATGAAAAACACGTACAAACTGTAGAGTACGAAGCAACCAAAATGGTCGCATAACGGTACGCGTCGACTTACGCGCGAGAAATGCTCGATGTCGTGCTCAAAACCAGTACATACAGCAATACACACTTCGTAGACAGAATTATTGGTGTAGCGTGTACACCTTGCTGTCCTAGTTTCATTCATCGATACTCGGAAGAACTCTTGATTCTGAGCCATAAAAATCATAACCGCGGTTCCCTCAGTTTAGTTGCATTTATTTCACATCCCCAAAATCGATATCTTGTCAGTTTCTCTCCACCGACTGGGGAGAGATGCGAGGGATCGCATCTTGGAGAATTTCAATACTACATTCTGCAAATTGTACTAACTATGTGGGAGAATGTATGTGCCAATTCCATCCATGCCAAGTGCATTCCAAGTACCCACGTATTCGTTTCCATCGACGAAACGCGTTCTTTCTTCAAAATTTTTCAGTCCGGCTTTCATATTGTCGCTTCTTTTCTTTTTTTTCTTCCAATTTCCTGACTTTACTTTTAATGGGTTTCCTTGTAAAGCAGTAGTGTAAACGATTTGTCGGAACCGGTTAATTTCATCACATTTATTCAGATGTTTCACATGATTTTCGAGTTATTTCAGATGGCATTATCGATGTTCTATATTCTATACTGTTTGTAACTTTAATTTTTTTGCGTTCTATACGATTTATTTGTTTTTTATCCAGCGTATCGCCACCATTACCATGATTTTTACGTTGTTCCACTCAAGAGCTTTCAACACCCTGTGCAAAAGAAACAGAGAGAACTGCTACTACATACTTATATGTACGTATGTGCTTTCGTTGATAACATTGCGTGAAAGATTTACCAGCGTTATTAAGTTTTCTTTAATCATAGCATTAATCTATAACGTACATCTCGATTATGACGAAGCAGTGTGTACCGTACCATTTTCATTTCTGTTGATACAGATTTTACATTAAACATGTATGTATTATGTAATCGATAGTAGACCGACGGTCGAAGGGGATAACGTTACTTAAAATGACCTCGTATAAATGAATCGGCTCGAAGAACCTCCTAACGGAGTCTTCTTATATTTTTCTCGCACGATATTCTCGCGATACGTGGACGGTACATGCTGCCGAAATATTTCTTAAATCAGTCTGAAGATAAAGTGGGAAAGGAAATAGAATGAAGGAATACCGTTAATCGTTCGTCGGTGTACCGAATCGAGGATACAAATAACATACACGCTTATGCGCGTATATACCTACATATGTATACGTAAATAGATGAATAGTGTGATTTTCTCATTTATTTTTTTTTTTTATCTTACCATGCCTGTATTATTTACGCGTGACATGTATTTACAAATATTACTCGGTAACAAAAAAAAGTAGTCGTTTTCGTAATTTGAAAGGAATCAATATTATCATGATCTACGTTTTAATAAAAATTTATCTGGACGCTTTGAACGTATTGTCGGGAAAGCGATTTATTCGGTCGATGTACCGTTAATCGCCGTTAATCGTTCAGGTCCTCTAACTGTCCCGAATTTCGAATCACTCTGTTCAATCGCGTTGTTCAAATTCGTGATTCAAGTTTACATTTTGTAGAATAAAAGATCTATGCATCCGCGAAAAAGTCCCATTATCGCGTTCTACGGTTCCGAAATATTTACACTTACACCATATAGCTCCTTTTTACATTCTGTGTTTTCATCTCCTTTTATTCGCTTCAGTCAGTTCTACACTGGTCCTTCAACTTCATACTATCCGTTCTTCCTTTCCTCTCCTTGATCTTTCCACTCTTTTTCTCTCATTATACACACACGCACACGCGCGTATGTATATACATATATGTATATATATATGTGTGTGTGTGTATATATATATATATTTGTATATATATGTGTATATATGTATATACACATATTCCTATGTACATATATTCCGACATCCGTCTGTCCCCCCGCGTAAACCGTACCGGCCAACATCTCGACTCTCCAGGTTCACCCTTTCTCCATCTTTTCGTTCGAAAAGAACGAAGACCGTGTTCCCCTTCTCCCGTTGCTTCTCTTTCTCAGTCCGACGCACTCGTTTGAACGAAGGATTCGAGCAGGCAGTTTGCGCTCATCCAAGGTAGGAGACAGTAGAAACGACAGGTGGCACGGAAAGAAGAACGAGCAGAAGGGCGGCGCGCGCTCTCGTAAAATACGAAAAGGGTGAAGAGATAAAAGAATAAAAGGAGACCCAGGCAAGGAAAAAAACGGTCAATAACCAATCGTAGATAAAACATCACCGAGAGATTGATCTATTTCCGACTCGGGGTGAACTGAATCAACGTCGGTAGCCGTTTGATTCGTGGAAGACAGTTACCGGCGCCATTCATATCTTCGTTACCATTTTTACTATTATCACTTCAGATCGCCGTGACACGTTATACCATTGTTGAACCGCGGGAAAGCGCAAACGTCGATCACGTTGACACAGGCACATGTTGTTGCTTCTTCTTTGACGACATATCCCCGAGATTATCGAGGTATCTATTATTGCAATGGTTACAATATAGTAGTAATTACGAGTCCACTCGTTCAACGACATTTATTCACCACGAAATTATTGAGAGTATTTTCAATTTTTAGTCACGATGAAGTCGTTTCGTGATTTCGAATGAATTCGTTTCGATCTACCGATTCCACCCGTTCTAGCAATTACAGACAAATTACCCAATATATACCTAATTTCTCTAAGTCGTATTTTATCCGCAATACCTAGATAGTTGCAACGTTCATTTTGTTCTACGCAATTTCGCATCGCTATTTTCGTGATCGGTTGAATTTCCAACAGCAGGTTCTGCAATTCAATTCGATGTTGTTCCGTGTACATGTATCGAATCAAGAGTGTCTGCTAAGAAAATTTCTTCAGAATTCACAGTCGAACGTGCTTAGCGCATTTACTAAGCGATTTACTGCGCGACGGAAAACCGGTCGTCACGTTAAGGCGATGGTCCGTAAGGGGGTAGCAAGGAATCGAAGGGTCGTTAACCGAAAAGAAGACGAGCTTGACTCTCGTGTCTTTCTTTCTTGTACCTATATGTCTTTTTCTTATACATACGTACATACATACATACATACATACATACATACGTACGTACGTACGTACGTACGTACGTACGTACATAAATATACGTCTTTGTCGTACTTAATATATCAAGACATATCAGTGCGCAGTGGTACTCGATAATACATTTGTCAACTTTCACACTTTCAGATTATTACTTACTTAGAAAAAAGCAGAAAAGTATGTCTTTGGAATGGTTTTATGTGACATTAACGGCACTCATGGTATGGATGTGCTGTTTCGAATCGACAAGTATGGGTGGACCGCTTCCAGAGAATATTACCGTTCTACCGTCGAGGAAATTCTTAAAATCTAGGTCGGTATTTGATTTTATCGCACTGTGCGTCCACGACGCGAGCTTATTACGTAGCTTATGGTATTTGAAAAATAGATTTATTGGAATTAAAAATTAAATCATATTTTGTCGTAATTAGTTATCTGTCGTAATCGTAATCTGTTCGTTGTTTATGTATTGTTTCTCGATCTGAAATTACGCGTAATCGATTCCAATTTCGATTCTTTCGATGGTACGTAATACGAATAACGTTTAGACTGTGACGAGATTTTATTGTTCGTTCGGTGGTTCCAGTTAGAAAGGTTGCTGCGCGTAATAATCTTGTGATTCGTTATACATCATTTCTAGCGTTGTTACGACAGTATCGATTGTTGGGAAACGGGACAATGGAAAAAACAGAGATGATCACACAACGGCCGACAGTAACAATAGATCATCAGCTGCCGCGAACGATATTAATGTCTATCGTTTACCACCTTCCCCGGCCAATTTGTTGAAACCCGATGGATTTAAATTCTACACTTACAATGAAAGGGGTGATATGATCACGAAACAGATGACTCTGCAGGAAATCCAAGCCTTGATCGCAAGCGGAGGACCGGATCATTCGAATGCAGAGATTCAAGAACCTCAAAAAGCCGAAGATATTCTTACAGGTGGAAAGAAGGTATGTGCGTAAACAGATGAATCGAAAAATCATTCGGTTAAATTAGGATCGCAATGTAAGAATTTATACACGTTGGAAATTCGTTTGTAGGTAATGGATGTCGTCGAAAGGGTGCAAAACGTACTGAAGAGTGCAATGAACAAACCGTCAACGTTAACGGGAATTATTTCGAATTCGGTTCCGGAGAAAGCAAACGTTGAGTGGAGTAATATTTTACCCGTTATCTTAGCTGGCGACAAACACGGAGACAACGTAATTAACAATACTCATCACGCGGAAGAGGTTACAACAGTGACACCGCCGGTATTCACCTCGACCCTCCGAAACGATCCTATTCCCGATTCGTTGAAATCGAACAAAACAGAGTCTTCTTCAATCGAAGGAGCCAACAACGATAATATCAAGTTTCCGCAGCAAACAACAATGTCAACCGTTATTACTTCGGACACAACGACCTCGTACACAGAGAAATTAATGATTCCAGTAGCTGTTATAACGGCCGAACAGAAACCACAGACTTGGCAGTATACAACTGAAAGTCCTGTTTTTCAGAAAATAACTGAAATTTCGTCATCGGCGGACGTACCTAAAGAAAATTACAATGACAACAATAATAATCATCATTTGCCCTCGAGCGGGTACGTTAATTCGTTACCATCTAATGGCAGTTCCTCGATCTCCTCTGAACTCACGAAAACCAATTACGGGGGTGTTGATTCGATCAGCACAGTCGCGGACACAAAGACCTCTTACGTTGTGTATTCGTTAAATTCGGCGGAAAGTAAAACGACGACAGTGGCGACCGATAATTGGGAGAAGGAAAACCTGAACAAGAATGGCCATGACTCGATAATGGAATTAAACAAACTAAGCGAAACAACAGAGTTAAGCAACGAATCATTTGCGACAACGGCCGTTTATTCCCCTGGAATGTTCGTTACGAACACGGGTGCACTAAGCAGCAGCAGCAGCAGCAGCACAGTTTCGTCGATAGAATCATCAAGGATCCCCCCTGACGACGCTGTAACATCAAAACCGAGTGACTTGCAATACACGCCACCTTCCACGTCTCTGCCTATGGAGTTGGTAAACTCATTGTCCAGTATGATCGATCAAGTCTCGGAAGACTCTGCCTCATTCGTTTTATCTTCCTCGTCCGACTTGGGGGAGGTATTGCCCCATCATGAAATCGATGAAAATAAACGAGAAAATGATTCCGAAATACGGACAAGTGCGGCAACTTCGATAATAAATGCGACGACTGAATTACCTCCGATCTACGGAGAAGAACTATTATCGGAGGACGCACAGGATGCATTCGAAGAATGTACAGAAGAGTCGGTCCGTGGAACAACTTCGACGAAACTTGAAGTTGATCAAAATCGAAGAACCACCACTTTAACCGTTCTACCCGTTTCGTTCGTTAATTTTCCCTCGGCGAATCTAACGCGTCCCGAGGAAATGATAAACTCGTTTTATATTACGACAGCGGTCGGTAATAGCCGTAGTACGTTAAACCCTTTGTCGGTAACCGATACAACGCCAATGGTGTCTATGGAAGAACCATCTGGTATTACAGCGAATTTAATTTCCGTCTTTACTTCTTCGAACGAAATGCATTCCGCACCTGTTGTGTTTGAAACTACGACAGTGAAAACAACGGTTTTACAAGCATCCGATTCAACGAAAAAAACGACTCTGACTGGTCTTTATGATTCTGCGTCTAACGTATCAAACGTTGAAAAACCCTCAACGAAGATCGAGTCAGCAGCACTTGTGGAGAGCATACTTGCAACGACTTCAACCGCAACGAATATTCCCGTTACAGTGGCGCTCGATTTACCAAATATTCCATCGGGAAATCTTCCGACGAAAACATTAGCCAGCGAGCTTATAGCTGGTTTTGGATTAATCGGCTCGAGTACAATGGACGACGGCACTTCTTACGATACAAAAAAGGCAACTTCGTTGATAGAAGAGCCGGGACCAATAAACGTTACATCGTCTACCAATCAGTCGAGCGTTGCTTTGAAACTGGAGACGCAAAGTTCAGCTTTCGTAACGGAAACAGCGGAAAAGGACAGATGGACTACTAAAGAAAGCGGTTCGAGGAACGAGAGTGGAACTCGCAATAACTCCTCGATGAATGAGAATATCTATGCGGAACTTATTCGGCCATCGAATCTACCCGAAGCAGTAGCAGTAACGTTAGAAACAACAGACCGAGCGGTATCTTGCGTTACGCACACGGACATGGAATTCGACCAAGTGGAAAACGAGCAGACGATTCAAACGACCGATTCATCCGTACTCGACGATGTCATTACCACCTCGGTGGATATCACAGTTACAGATCGTAGTGAGAGCTACTCGGATGATATCAAGTTTTCCGAACACACGTTCGATCTAGATTCCGTGACAACGATAACTAATACAGAATCGAATACTTGGTTTGATTCGCAAAAGCCAATGCAAGTAGGTGCATCGAATGTCGATGGGCCCGTTGAGACACGCGTCGTAGTACCGACAAAACCCGAGGGCATCCTGGTAGAAGCGGGATTAAAAAAAGAAGACGATACGAACATGGTTACGAATTCCAACGGTTCGATTGGAATTTCATCGACAGAATTGAATTCGAACGTTTACGATAAATTCTCAACGAATACGAATGAGTCGAGTTTAACGAACGCGAACACTACGGTAGACGTCAGATTGAAACAGCAAACGAATGAAACGATTGCCGATTCGAATACCTTTGTCACCGGTGATTCGTCGTCGTCGTCGTCGTCGTCGTCGTCGTCGTCGTCGTCGTCGTCGAAAGAGTCGAACAAAGTCACAGTGGATGATACGAATGCAACTGACAAAACAGATTACTCGATGGATGCCGATAAATCGAGGAACGATTCGCAGGAAAATACAATAAAGACGAACCATTTACCAACGGGAAGTCAGGAATCAGAATCAAACGTTACCACTCATAGTGTACCGTCTACAAATCAAACATATACAAGTTCTGAATATTCAAGTTCGAGCAAAACGAACAAAACGGATCATATTCATACGGAGAATAAATGGCAGCGTATAACTTTACACGAAACAGTTCCAACGCAGTCAACGAAATTTGTCGCGTCGGTGACTAAAAATCCATCATCACCGCAGCCATTATCGGCGGTATCAACGACGCCGACGACGACGACGACGACGACGACGACGACGATGATGATGATGATGATGATACCGACATCAACGTACGAAACGAATTCGACAGAAGGGGAGACGCGTTATCCGACGATTCCTATGACCGAAGCTGGAACCACGGTTACGCTGAATTCTTCGAAAAACACTGGAGGATTGGATACCAGCACAAAGAACGCGAGCATCGACATCGTAAACTTCTCGAGACTTTGCAACGAACTTGCATTCAAATTTTGGATAGCCGCGAACAAGGGACTAAGCACCGGAAGGTCACTCGCTCTCTCGCCATTCGGAATGGTAAGCTTACTCGCTATGATTTTTCTTGGCGCGCGAGGATCAACGTCCGATCAAATGAACGAAGTGCTTGGACTCGACAACGTGGCCACCTTTAATCCGCATTTAATTTTCCAAAATGTAACGGATGCAGTGAGTTTGGCGAGACATCAAGGTATCGCAAACGCGGCTTTCGTTCGCGAACTGTTCGCGGATAAAGTCAAGGTTCGTAAATTATTGCCCTTCTATAAAGAACAAGCTCAACAGTTTTACGAAGGACTGGTGGCTGAAGTAAATTACGCTACCATCAGCGATCTTGCGCGACGTCGCACTAATCTCTTGATTAGGAAACAAACCGGCGGTAGAATAAGAGATTTTGTAAAAAGTAACGCAGTTCCTTTAAGATCACCGCTCGCAGCCATTTCAGCGAATGTATTTCAAACGGACTGCAACACCAGTTCGGCCAGCACGACGGGACGAGACGGTGAATTATATTTCGCTATATCATCGGCTCATAGGTTGAGAAAATTGATTCCAGTCCCGGCAACTGTTTGGCGATCAAATGTACTCGCCGGTTACGAACCGAGCTTAGACGCCACCGCGATTTCTCTCGGTGGTATCGATAAATTAGTCTCGACGATATTCCTGTTGCCCGGTCAGCAGGGTCACGCCGCACCCGGCGACACATTGGACCGACTTGAGCAAAGGCTCGTCAAGGGGGCCCATCAGGATGGAACTTGGAATAAGCTTCTCAAAGTTCTCATACCTAGGCGTGGTCTCGAATTACAAATACCCAAGTTCAGTCATAGATCTGTCGTTAACGCTACCGCCGCTCTGAAAAGAATGGGCCTGGATCAATTGTTCTCGAACGATGCTGACTTTAAAGGGATCAATGGAATCGGAAATCGTCTATTTTTATCAGACGTTTTGCAGGTAACGTTACTCTCTTACCATCTTCGCCCCGCCGTCTTCATTCTCTCATTTTCTTTTCTTTTTTCGCTTTCTATTCCGCCTTTCCATTATAACGTATTGTCTTCTATATCATATATATTCGTTGCTTATTTACTATCGCGACCCTTTTGCAGATGAACCTGTTCAGTACGTGCGGTGACGAAAACACCGCTAATGGACGACATCACGTGGAAATTTATCCAGCTAGTCCTTCTTCGCGGATTTCTTCGAATTACGATAACGAATATCCAACTTCCGAAGTTCATGGAGAATTAACTTCTGGCTACTCGATAACACAACCACCGTTTATTTTTCGATCGAAGAATTATCGAACCGTTTCAACAAGTGGTGGAGTAACAAAAAACTCCGAAAAACAAACGGAAGACAGACCCAGATTAAAACTGGATCAACCGTTTCTCTATTTCGTACGACACAATCCGACCGGTCTTATACTTCATATGGGTCGTTTCAACCCTAGATTACTTTAACTTCATAATCCATGATCATTCGTTATTCCCATCATTATCTATTTAATATTGTGTCTAATTCACGTATAATAATCACGATTTCTCCACCATACATTTTTGCTATCGTTAAACATTTTCGCTATACACTTTGTCGAGACTGAACTGTACTCTTTCTGTGTGTGTGCGCGCGCGCGCGTGCGTGCGTGCGTGCGTGCGTGTGTCTGTCTGTCTGTCTGTCTGTCTGTCTGTCTGTCTCTGTGTATGTATCAGCTGTGTGTCGGCTGTATGTCGGCTGTGTGTGAGTTTGTATTCGAATCCTCGGTCGTTCGTTAGACGTTACCGCCCTAATACTACCGATTCACATACCGATAAACAAATCGAACAGTACAACTGGAACAAACCTGTTGTTGTTGACTGTTACATACATACAATCGAGCGATACGATTGTGCGCTTCTGCGATATTATTAGGTACAGTTTAATATCGGCAGAATCGATAAAAAAGAACGAACTACGATGCGTGAAACACGAAGACAGAATGACAAAATCGTTTCAATAACCAAAGCAAGATCGGTCTGTCATCGACATACATAATAATATGATGGATCGTTTTCAGTTTAATCAGTGTTTCCATTTTAAACAGATACTGAAACTGCATGTTTCGGAATATCTTTGAATTTAAATCTAACAATTTAAAGGGCAACAAGAATTAACAGAGACCAGCAGGTTGAATTTCTACTTTTAAAAGTATCGCTGACAAATGCAGCATCCACATTTACATATAACTGCATCGATGTGTAATCAGAATCGTAATGTAAATACGTACCTATAGCTTATGAACATTTTTTCATCGGAAAAGAAGCTGATAAGAACGGTGTTTTTCGACAACTATTTGTTCCTACATCGTGACCTTATTGTATAGTTACATACTTCTTCTGTCGCGTACATACATATGTATACACATTATTTGGCCCCTTCGTGCAGCAAATCGTCACTTCGATTCACTTCACTTTACTTTACTGTTCGTACAGCGGCGTAAACATACATATCCTTGGAACATCTGAAATCCGTTTGAGTGAAATTGATTCTCTCGACTACAACATACGTGTATGTATAGTTCATATACATATTATACCGACATTCAATGTGGCGAAAAAAATACAACGAAGACTGAATATTCTAACACTATTTGTATTTTAATTGAACTTAATCGATAGAATGGATACGCATGTAATTTATTACGTAGCTGTTCTGCATTTTCATTGATTTATTTGCATCCTTGCCACGTATATTGGTAACTATGTAATAAATTATTAATTAATTTTCGTTATTTAGCCACAGTTCTGGTACGAAACTGCTGCAAATCTCATTACATATAAACGGTGCGATGGGAGCAATTTTTTAAGATATAAATTGTTAAGAAACATTAATATTCCGCGCCAACTATTTTTCGTAGTATATAGTAGATTAGTGCTTTCTAGCGGCTGGGAACCAGTAATTTCAAGAACATTGTTGAAATCACATTTATTTGCAACGGTTAACACTGTATCTCGTCACGCGTACCACGTTTACTTCACTTTGGACAGCTCAACCAACGTTATGCTGACAGCATTCTTGATATTAGGAATAGGAGTGGAGATAGTGCGGGGATTAATGAATAACGCATATGTATAATTTGACTGTTGTTTATTGAAAAAATCGTACGAAAATATACAATTTACAATAGTATTTCTATAAATTTCACAATAGTACTAAGTAGTAAATTTAATCGCGGAGGACCACTATTTGATTGACCGGTGGCGCCATCCGTGGCGAATCGCTGAAACTACTAGCCAATTATATAGCTAGCAGTTTCGGCGTTACGCCACGGATGGCGCCACCGGTCAAAAAAAAAGTGTCATTCCGCGATTAAATGCGATTTTTACAGTGTTCTGGTTGTTTATTGCTATTTTCAATGACAGGAGATTAATCTACGTTCTTTTAGCTTCAAACTGAATGCTTGATCAAGACGTAACTTGTCCATAGAACGTTGGAAGAGCTATTTAAAGTGAACTAAACGGGGTACGCATCGCGAGATACACTGTCAACCGTTGCAAGCAAATGCGATTTTAACAATGTTCTTGCGATCACTGGTTTCCAGCCGTTAGAGAATAGTAATCTACGTTCTTTAAACTTCGAATGTAATCCATGACGAGGAAAACTGATGCTCGTTTAGCAGTGTAAATGCGATCGAAACCTGTGGCAACTACATAACCACTAAACAGGCAACACTTTTCTTCGTCATGCACTACATTCGAAGTTTAAAGAATGTAGATTAGCACCCTATAACGGCTGATTCGTCTTGCCCAGCACTCGACTTGTAGCTGAAAGAACGTAGATTAATCTCCTGTCAGTGGCAATAACAATAAACGACCAGAACACTGTTAAAATCGCACTTTATTTGCAACGGTTAAACACTCTATCTCGTCATGCGTACCCCGGTTAGTTCACTTTGCATAGCTCTTACATCGTTATACGGATAGCTTTTGTTTAGCTGAAGCACTCAATTTGTAACTGAAAGTACGTAGATTAATCCACTGTTATCGATAATAACAATAAACAACTAGAACACTGTTAAAATCGCATTTAATCGCGGAGTACCACTATTTTTTCGACCGGTGGCGCCACCCGTGGCGAAACGCTGTTAGCCATATAATTGGCTAGCAGTTTCAGCTATTCACCACGGATGGCGCCACCGGTCAAAAAAGTAGTGGTATTCCATCTAGCCAAATAATTGGCTAGTAGTTTCAGCGATTCGCCATGGATGGCGCCACCGGTCAAAAAAAAAGTGTCATTCCGTCTAGCCAAATAATTGGCTAGTAGTTTCAGCGATTCGCCATGGATGGCGCCACCGGTCAAAAAAAGTGTCATTCCGCGATTAAATGCGATTTTAACAGTGTTCTGGTCGTTTATTGTTATTTTCAATAACAGGGGATTAATCTACGTTCTTTCAGCTTCAAACTGAATGCTTGATCAAGGTGTAACTTGTCCATAAAACGATGGAAGTGCTTTTTAAAGTGAACTAAGCGGGGTACGCATGCTGAGATACAGTGTCAACCGTTCCAAATAAAGTGCGATTTTAACAGTGTTCTGGTCGTTTATTGTTATTGCCACTGACAGGAGATTAATCTACATTCTTTCAGCTACAAGTTGAGTGCTTGGTCAAGATGAATCAGTCGTTATAGGGTACTAATCTACATTCTTTAAACTTCGAATGTAGTGCATGACGAAGAAAAGTGTTGCCTGTTTAGTGGTTATGTACTTGCCACAGGTATCGATCGGATTTACACTGCTAAAGGAGCATCAATTTTCCTCGTCATGGATTACATTCGAAGTGTAAAGAACGCAGATTAGTACTCTCTGGCAGGTGGGAACCAGTAATTACAAGAACATTGTTAAAATCTCAATTGTTTGCAACGATTGACACTCTATCTCACGATGCGTACCCCGTTTAGTTCACTTTGGACAAGTCATACAACGTTATCCTGACAACTTTCGTCTTGACCAAGCATTCGATTTGTAGCTTAAAGAACGTAGATTAATCCCCTGTCATTGACAATAACAATAAACGACAAGAACACTGTTAAAATCACACTTTATTTGCAACGGTTGACACTTTATCTCGACAAGCGTACCCTGGTTAGTTCACTTTGGACAGCTCGTACACCGTTATACGGACAGCTTTCGTTTCGCTAAAGCACTCGATTTGTAGCTGAAAGTACGTAGATTAATCCACTATTATTGATAATAACAATAAACGACCAGAACACTGTTAAAATCGCATTTAATTTCGGAGTACCACTATTTGTTTGACCGGTGGCGCCATCCGTGGCGAAACGCTGAAACTGGTAGCCATATAATTGGCTAGCAGTTTCAGCTATTCGCCACGGATGGCGCCACCGGTCAAA